ACGAACTCTTAGAGCAAAGTTGAGATTAGTCGGAATGCGATAAATAATTTTGAATGCAGTATTCACATCAACCTTGTGCTCAGTATCAACAAGGTGTGCTAACATAGAACTACGAATAGATCTTATTTGTCCCTTGCCTAACCATGATGGATGATGTTCAGCAATACGACGATGAAACTGCCTAATTGTACGCCCAATGTAGCTGGCTCCGCAGGTGCAGTCAAACTGGTAGACACACATAGAAGAGGCAAAATTAGGTAGTTTGTCCTTATTTCTCGAACATAGAATAGGGGTGGTTTTGAAGAGACAACGTACTTCTGCTGCATAATAAGCTCTTTTAACTGCATTCTTCAAGCGCTGTGTTATGATTTCACTGATGTTGTCACCGAGGAACTGCAATTTTATGAACATTGGCTTCTTCGAAACTGTAGCAATACTGATTCTCTTTGGTGCTGAATTCATATTCTTCTCAATAAATTTATCTGGATAACCATTTTTTCTAAGTAATTCTTTAATAATCTTAAGCTCCTCATTGAGGCAGTCGTCTGAACATATTAACTTAGCTCTATGAACCAGACACTTTACCAGGTTACGTTTATATTTCAGAGGTACAAAACTCAAAAAATGGGTGTACTGACCTGTTGTTGTAGGTTTCCTATACACACTCCTTCTTAGTGTGCCATCATCTTTCCTTGTCATGAAGACGTCTAGGAATGAGATACTATCATTACTTTCTTTCTCTATGGTAAAGGATGCGCATTTCGTCCAATTTGGGACTCGTCTACCAGCTAGATTTACTTGCATTTCTCAGTGAGTGATGATGTTCCCACCGAGGCTCGAACCCAGTGCCCATAGTTTCATAGTTTCCACCAATTAAATACTAATTAAATGCCTAGACATCGTCGAAGCATCTACTCAAGAAGCCGAAATGTCAACCTGAGACCGAGCACTTCGGTCCAATCAATCGACGGAAAATTCTAAAATTCAATTAAAATTGAGTTGTTATTGTTAAAATATGACTTTTATATAATAGAATCTTGGTTTCCGCTAAGCTGAACATACATTTTAATGCATGTAGTGATTATCAGGGGTCAACTGTTTTCTCACATTAAGACCGAGTTAAACTTTAAGCACCACTGACTACTAACAGAGTGTGACGACGGCACCATTGATCTTAAATGGTCCATTGAATTTCACTCACATGAGTTAAAGCTTCTATCCCACTTGATCCGGTTGCTGATGATTCTAATATTTCGTAGGAACACTTTTGCCAGATCCCATCTGTCCACAACCCAGATTTTGTATATTTTATTGTAATTACTGAGTTTTAAAACAGCCTGTGAGAGAGGTACAGGTGTAGCTGCTGAAACTGAAAATAGTCTCGTATCAACAGTTCAGTGGTACCAGCACTGCATGGGGATATCGCGTCATGAGAAATGCAGAAGCTTACTTCTTCATTATTTGGGGGAGGAGAAGGTGTCATCGTACATGTGGATGAAACTGTCTTAAAAATACAACCATGGTCGTGAATGAGCGAGCAAATAATGTTTGGGTGAAATTGGTTTATATGATACCTGTCTACAGAAAGGTATTTTCGAGAGGATATCAGATAAAAAGTCAAGTACTTTAATATCTGTTATCAGTCGACTGGTTGGGGCCCTCGGGACTCTAAGAATCAATGGCTGCAGACGGTAGGTGACATGGGTCAAAATCGTTGTCATTGGCGCAGATGTATTCAGTCTCTGTAATCTTTCATATTCCTTCCTACCATTACTCGTTCTGTTTCTTTCTTATACTTGTCAAAGCTCTTTTGACTCTCTTCAGTCATCTTCTTGTCTACCTTCGTGTGCTATTCGGAACGTAGCAACTCGAACTGCTGCACTTCGGTGCCAAGTTCTATGTTGAATCCAGACAGACAGACAGAGTCGACTGGTGAAACAAGCATCTATAATACAGGCAAATGAGTGGAAAGGTTATATAACTCCTTGTCATCCCTTGGATATATTCACCGCAGAGTTAACCAGTGTAATGATTTTGTGGATCTCATTACACGGACCCACACCAGTTCCATCGAAGGCTTTTAGGGAAGGTTGAAAAATAGAATTAGGGCCACTAATAGATCTCAAAAGGGTGTCATTTATAGTCATTTAAATGAATATATGTGTAGGGTGTGCTGTAACTTTACCATTGTTACACCTATGCTAAACTGGGAGATGTTTATACAGTTTTTATGCATTTTCCCCCCCCCCCATAAATATGTGTATTCCATACCTAAAAAGGCCTCATTCATGAGACTGGCGCGTTCAGGGTCACTAGCTGATTGGTTGTAGTTAGTGGTGCTTAAACTTGAACTTTGCCCAGATTAAAGTATCCAATGAAGTGTTAATTTTCATTGAAGAACGTTTCATTATCATGCTGGATATTGTCGTCATCATTTCCACTTAGTAATCCACAATTTGAAATTTTATTACAGTTTCTTTTGGAAACCGAAACTGGTTATGATTACAATATGTGATAGGCTTAGCACCATGAATGGTAATCAAGAAAGCAAGCACAAATGCGTAAAACAATATATACTACTGATCGATCGATACGAGTAGTTGTATACTACTCACATCAGCGAGTAGTAGTACTAGCTTACTGACTAGTCAGGTCGAAGTCGTGCAGACACAAAGTGACCGTTTCGCTTATTTGTGGCCGACCTCATCAATGGTGTAGATGGTTTGACTCAGCGCAGTGGTATGTGACTACTCATCTCAGTTAATAAGTAGTATATAATTGTATGCATTTATTGGTATTAGATAGTTGGAGACAATCGGCAGGAAGCCTTCAGGCGTATCTGCAACCTTGAAGGAACTCATGTCCCTTCTGAGGAGATTCGAACCCGCGTCACCCAGTGCCGCCTGAAATTAGAGACGTTACCATTGAGCTATGCAGGCTCGAGATTACTGACCTCCTGTGGGACTGCATTGGGTACTTCGATTGGACACTAGTGGCTTGCCATTATGGTGCACTCGAAGCCTTGGCTTCCTGCCGACTTCTACCAACCATCCAATACCAAAAATTCACAGTGTGAGCCACCTAGTGATATGGTGGCCACATTGCAAACTTGACTGATCGAATTCAGTCTGCGGTAAACAAAGGACACATTACACAAGTTACTACCGTCCAATCAAAAAAAAGTGTAAGCACTTCTACTTGGTTTCCTGATGACCATTTACGGTATCAAGTGGGTCGTATTCACCGTGATCTGAATCATTTTGATCTCCAAAGGAAACTGTACTGAAGTTTCACCTTCTCCAGCTGGGTAAATTCCAAATCGCTAATCAATTTGGAAGTTGCGAATTCGATATAATTTTACAAATAAAAATTCAAATATAACCCAATCATGGTGTTTTGTCTGTAGGATAATAAGATGGTGAATATAAATTGTGCAATTAGTCATAATAGTAGTAATGATAATAATATTAGTAATAATAATAATGGTTTTATCAATAATAAGGATGAAAAAGTGAGGCGATCTTTGATATATATATATATATATATATATATATATATATATATAATATTCATGTTTCCTTGACGGAGATGGGCTATCCGAGTAGTTTCATAAAGAAACATATGAAAACATTGGAGAGAAAATCTGAGACTGTGATTGCACGTAAAAACCCTCTATTTATTAAGTTACAATTTAATGGTGACTTATCGGGTGAGATTTTATTCTGAAGACTTTCAAGGAGTATGTTTGTCATTCTCTAGCCGACGAATGATTGGGACGCTAACGAAGGATAAGCTTGATAGTTTTGACACATCTATGTGCATTTATCAATTCAACTGCACCTGCGGTGACAGTTATATTGGGCGTACTACTAGATAGCTTAGCCAACATGTCACTATTGAACATATCCCATTGTGGTTTGGCAAAGGACAGACAAAAACAATCCGTAGCTCAATTTTGTCACATTTAATTGATCGTGGTCATGTAATCGAGAAAACGAGAGCCTTCAAAGTGATTCATCGTATCCCACCGAATCTTTCCAATAGACTTAGTATTCGTTTACTGCACACAGCTGAGGTGATAGGCATTCGAACTATTAAACCTAAACTATGTATTCAAAAAAGTTCGTACAGCCATTATCCCTCCCTTGGCCTATTAAGACATAACCAATTAATCACTTCTACACCACCCTTTGTTAATATTTTCAACCCCTTTCTTATCATCCCTTAATCTTATCACATCTTCACTAAAAACGTGTTTCATTTCCTTCCCTTACAATCTAACATTACTTAATCGGTTCATTTGTTTTTACTAGCCTTTATCGACTACTTCCACCTGAACAGTTGTTTGTTTAATAATGCTGTTTTTCATTATTCGTGTTATCACAGATTGCCTCACTTTTTCATCCCTTTTATTGATAAAACCATTATTATTATTATTATTATTATTATTATTATTATTATTATTATTATTATTATTATTATGACTAATTGCACAATTTATATTCACCCTCGTATTATCCTACAGACAAAACACCCTGATTGGTTTATATTTGAATTTTTATTTGCACACTTATATATATTAGAGTTAAGCCTGATGAGATCTAATTGAAAACAATATTGTTCGCTTAAGCGTGTTGTTCTAAATTTTTCTATGGGAATCTTTAATATATTGAATTCTGTATTAGGCGTAATCATCAGGTGATTTTGAAGTCATTCGCCTCTCTGAGTTGAGTGTCAGACTGGATTCATCGCTGGTGAGCTCAGCCCCAAACGGGTGATATAGCGGTCAGCTATTCAAATCCTTTCGATCTAGCTGGCTAGCAAGTACTACTATTTCATGTGAATAGTATCCAACTACTCATTTCAGTGAATCAGTAGTATAGTACACAGCGTCATGCATTTATCTGTATTCTTCTTATGTTGTATATATTTAATATTTTACATGATATTAAATACAGTTGTTTTTACTTTTGTCTCTTCCTTCCTTTAATACCCCTCAGCTAGTCATTCACATTTTGGACGAAATTTAAATTTGGTAAGTGCTTACTACTCGAAAGTTGGTTTATCTGTGTGTCTCTGCAGGTAATGCAATGTTTTGATAAGCGTAGATGCTGATAAGTTGGTAAATTCCATCTAACTAGCTAGTTCTAGCACAACATTTTTGTTATAATGCGAGTCACTGAAGTATTCTAAGTAGGGCGTGTGTACTGCTCAACAGTCCGCTCCGTCCTCCTTTATGGCTGTGAGACCTGGCCATTGAGAGCAGAAGACATGAAAAGATTAGCTGTCTTCGATCATAGGTGTCTGCGTTCTATCTCCCGCGTGAAGTGGTATAATAAGGTGAGCAATATTGAGGTTAGGCGTCGAGTGCTAGGTAAGGTCGGGAAATCAATCGACGAGACTGTGAAATTACTTCGACTGAGATGGTTAGGACATGTGCTACGTATGCCTAGTCATCGCCTTCCTCGACGGGCAATGTTAGCTGATATAGGGTCAGACTGGAAAAGAGCTAGCGGCGGTCAAACCAAAACATGGCACCAATCAATGAAATCCACAACAGTTAATCTAAGCCACGTAGGGAGATGTAGACTTCCTGGTTGGGGTCCTCGGGATGGTAAAAACCAATGGTTGGAAACAATTGGTGACATGGCTCAAAATCGTTCTCAGTGGCGCAGATGCATCCACTCCTTGTGACTTATGATTTCCAATTAAACTTTTGTTCTCCGTTATTACTATTCCTTTGTCTCACACCTCTGTTTACTGTCTATATTATTATGCATTTCTTTTTGCTTTCTTCTCTTGATTTGTGTGTTACATGTAGTGTGGCAAGTTGAACTGCCGCACATATGTACAAAGTTCTATGTCGAAAACCGACCGACCGACCGAAGTAGGAATGATGCTACCGTCGTAATAGTTTTTCCCTTACTGTACTGAGTATTATTCAATTTAGAAAAAAATTTCAAGAGTTGCTTTGTAAGGATGAGATCTGTTTTTACGAGTTTTACCACAATTGATATCAGTTAGAGAATCATTTAAAACCAGGGAGCACTGGACAGCTGCTGTTTCATCCTAGTTTGGGAATCATCGGCAGTACGCACCCACACCACAGTGGGGTTCGAACCCAGGACCACCGATGACATTGGTCGGTGATCGCGCTAAATCATGAATTAGTATAAGTTTGAATTCACGGGCCATTGAATCGGGTCCTAGTGGCTGAATGGTATACAAGCTTGCCTTGTAACCGGAAGGTCCTGGGTTCGAACCCTACTGTGGTGTGCGTGCGTACTGCCGATGATTCCCGAATTAGGATGAAACAGCTGTCCAGTACTCCCAGCTGGCTTTCAAAGGTTCTCTAAACTTATATAGAAAAGTCCCTATATAGAAATATTTAGAAAGCAAAACGATTGAGGGAAGAAATATTTGAATAAGGCATTTAGAAGACAAATTTCGCGATATGATATTGTCATTTTGTAGTTTCTTTACAACCGCTTTACAACTAACATGGTTAACAATAATAAAATAAAGGTCATGACAATTACTCAGTTAAATAAAAAATTAAAAGTACATACTAATGACCAATCATATTTAATTAAATAGGTCAAGTAGCCAGTTCACGGTAGATGAAGGTTGTAGTCTTTTGTTTTTGTTCACACAGTTTAGGATGTATGTGATTAATCCCCCAGAGTGCTTCCATCACCTTCAATAACCAACCATTCAAGGGTGACCAGATTATGCAGTTAACAGTTCAAAGACTTCCGTCAGCCATCAATCTCACATTTTACACCGCATGTCTTTCCCTCATATCTCGAACATTTTCGATCCCTATACCTGAACGATTAAAGGACGAAATTCTGTAGACTCTACTTCAAACTGTATCTACAAGTTCACCTTCAGTTTTTACTGTGACACCTATATAGGTAGAACCAATAGAATGTTCCAATGTGGTCATCGAAAAGAACATGTTCCAAAATGGTTATTAAGATATATAGAAAATCCCAATGCAATCAATAATCTGAATAGAAATCCATCATCATCATCCATTGCAAAGCACTTATTGATGTCAGGTCACAAAATCAATATTAATGACTGTTTCACAATTATTTCATCACATAACTCTAATTCAAGGTTGGTTATTAAAGGTGATGATGGAAGCACTCTGGGGGATTAATCACATACATCCTAAACTATGTGTACAAAAAACAACAATAGACTTCAACCTTCGCCTACCATGAACTGACTACTTGACCTATTTAAATATGATTGGTCATTAGTATGTACTTTTGTTTTATATAACTGAGTAATTGTCATGAGTTTTATTTTATTTTATTATTATTGTGAACCATGTTAGTTGTAAAGCGGTTGTAAACAAACTACGAAATGATGCCATCATCTCGCGAAGTTTATCCTTCTAAATGCCTTATTCAAATTTATCAAAGGGGACTAATTGTTTCAATCTTCTCAATTAGATCCTAATTTTTATTACAATACACAACAGTTTACCAATCAAGTGGCGCTGATATGTTTGTTAACAATAATTAGTCAGTATCAAAATGTCGAGGCGTCAGGTAGACATGGTTACAATAAGTGGATTGCGTAATGCATGACTTTGGAAAAATAAGGTGAGTAATTAAGGAATAAACGTGTGCTCAAGTTGATTACGTAACAGATTGTTAAAGAAAAATAAAACGATTTGGACAATGTTAACATGTAATTAAAGATGATTCATGGTGCGTACTGATGAAGAGTCCCAAACTACGACGAAACAGCTGTCCAGTACTCCAGGTTTCTTCTCTAACTAATATCAGCTCATGATGAAATCCTGTAACCATCAAATCCCTACACCAACACTTGATAAAGTAGTCAGAAAAATAATAAAATAATTTGAACAATTATAATTTTTAAAGGTTTAGGGGGAGGGGGACGAAGTAGTCCGGTTTATACATTCATGTAACGATGACCAAGGTAAGGAAAGTGGCTGTACAAATTTCTTCTGAATACACAAGGTTAGGCTTCTTCTTCAGGTGGATTCCTATGGCTTCAGCTGTAGGTATGTAGAAGACGAACTCGTAAAGCAAAATTAAGATTAGTAGGAATGCGATAAATAATTTTTAAATGCCGTATTTAACGTCAACTTTATGCTCACTATCTATCTACAAGTTGGTGCACTAAAACAGAGCTAGCTACGAATAAATCTTGTTTGTCCTTTGCCTAACCATGCTGCAGGATGATGTTCGGAAATACGATAATGAACCTACCGAATTGTACGCCCAATGTAGCTGGCTCCGCAGCTGAAGTCAAACTAGTAAATACACATCGAAGAAGCAAATTTAGATAGTTTATCCTTATTTCTTGAACGTAAAATAGAGGTAGTAGGCAAGAGATAACGTACCTCTGCTGCATTGAAAGCTCTTTTAACTGCATTCTTCAATAAGCTGGTTAACTGTGTGGTCAGCACGTACAATAGATCTCTTAATCTCTTATAAGTTTCGACATAAATGAATCAATTAAAAAGAAAGTGATTCGGCGGAGAAACTCTTCTCAAAGAATTTATTGTCGAGCTGTGTTATTATTAATCCCATGGGCTCCAAGTGGAACATAGGGCTTCAACAGCACATATCCATGTTATCCCAATTCTCCGCAGTCCTGTTCAGTAGGCTCCACAATTGCTCATAAGCTTTCTTCTCCTATTCCTAACATGATGTACTACTCTATGTCACCCTTAAAAGTGACGCCCAAATTGTCGTTTCCTGCTGTGGTTCCACTCGAGGCCTGTGCTTGGCGTGCTATGTCACTCAACGGTCTCCTGCGTATGCGTCCAATCCATCTCCGCTTTTGTTTTCGTTTTTGTGCTTTGAAATTTCTGTAGCGATTGGATTGATTTTTCCAGGATAGTGTTGCTAGCCTCAGCACGTCTAACCTTCCTTCTTTTATTGGACTTAGGAGACTGGCAAGGAAACTAACGAACTAGTAAACTTCTCGTGGTGATGTGATACAGACAATGTGTGTTCCAACGGAATATTATTCTCACATATTCCCATAGTTCAATACAGCGTTAGCAATAGAATGCTATGTATATATTTGAAAATTCCATTTCATGTCGTTTAATGTAAATCAAAATCACACGTTCAGTGATTGGTTAGAGAATATAAAACTGTATAGATATAAACAGCGGTCTGATCACTTGAAAATATATACCTTGACTTCTGTGTCTTGCCTTCTGTTGTTACATCTGGTGTCGCTGCCTGCAGAAAAATGGAAAGCCTATGCCCTGCAGCTTTTGAAGAAGGAGACATATGGATCTTCTGACAGGACTTCGAGGCTGTTGCGCAGCTGAATGGCTTTCAAGATGCGTCAGCGTTGAGGCTGTTACTTGGAACGCTGCTGGGAGGTTGGGCAACGGCAGCATATGATAGTGTGAGGCGAAACCTCGGCGAATACGCGCAAGGGTCATGCAAACTGCTTCCAAAGTGGGAAGGACCATACACGGTTACCGTGAGACGGGATCACGTATATACGATTAGAAATGCAATTAAAGACAAGTGGGTGAACGTCAGCGAGCTCCGGAGCTCGATATAGCAAGACAAGTTATATATATATATAATATTTAGAGAAATTAGATTACCAATTGCGACAAAATATTTGTGATTATAACATGAGGCGGGGGAAGGGGGATAAAATAGAGGTTGTCATGTATAAGATAATCTGCAAGGAGAGAGGACCCAAAGAAAATGCTATCGCAATATCCCGCCTGTTGTCTAACAGTGTAGTTATATTTCCTCGTGTTTTCTAACTCTTACAGTTTGACAATTCACAACGAAATTCTGCTGCCTCAAGAACTTTACCATTGGATTACTTAAAACAGGTAGTTGCCCTTTTGTTTGGTTTTTTTTAACCCAAAAGCCAGTGTTACTCACACAGGATATATCTCAGTGCATATATAGTCAGTTTTAGTGTTGGAAAATTATTTATTCGCCGATATGAATTTAGAGTAAGCATGAAATGTTATTATAGTTGGATTTAATGAATTTATCAAATTTCGGTAGAACTCCTCAGCTGAATACTCTACATGATTGTAATTATTATTCACTTGGTTTCCGAGTGTGGAACATAGGACTTTAACAACATCAGTTGTCAGCCACTGTGTCGTGGAATTGTCTTTTGTCTTTCCTAGCACTCTTCTTCAGTTCTTTGTTCAGTGCAGTGTACATTGAACTCAGCTCCTCTTCTTCTCTTGTCCATCTTTGCACTCAGTCATCTTCTCTTTCACCATCCTCCTCTCCTCTCTTCTATTAGCTCTACAGGTATCCGTTGAGAGCCACTCATTGTCGTGTCCCTTCTCTCTTCCTAGGACATTTGTACAAGTTTCCTTGAAAATCACCTTCAGAAAGTTCCAATGTTCTTCCAAGCAGGTTTCCTCAATTATGCCACATAGTGTATCCAACTTTTCTCTTGTAGTTTTGTCCTTCGGTTTCTGAATGTTGAACTTGAACTACAGTGGCCTGTTTCCAGTTGTTCGGAAGGATTTCAGCTTCACCTTGGAGGCTCCTTGAACTAGATGATGGTTTGAGCCCACATCTGCTCCCCTTCTCAACTTTGTGTCCAGCAGACTAGCTGCGTCTCCACTTCCTTGGGCAACATTGAGATGAAACCTATCTGGTTTGTGGTATGTCCGTCAGGCGAAATCCATGTCGCTTTGTGTATTTCCTTGTGTTTGTACACACTGTTTCCGATCACCAAATCATTGAAAGCGCAGAAATCTGCGAATAATTCTCCGTTCTTATTCATTTCGCCGAGCGACAGCATCTCGACCCAAGATGAGTTCTCTTCCTATATTATCTGCTCCCAGTTTGGCTTGCATTCATATCGCCCATTAGGATTTTGATGTCACCATTTGGGTTGTTGTCCATTACAGTTTGTGGTTGTCTATAACAATCTTCCTTCTTCTCTTGTTCTGAGTTATTTGTAGTTCTCGTAGCATGGGATAATTGTAACCTTCCTTCGTTTTGAGTTAAATCTTCATTTCATTATCCTGGAGGAGTGTTACTTATTTGTGGTTGTCGCCTAAATTGCCTAGAATGCGCTTCCAGACACGACACTTGAAAATACTCCTGACACTGAGTTAGACTCAAAAGTCAGATTTAACTTCGACAACAACGACTACAATTTTATTATTCAAAATGCGTGGTATATACATCGTTGGTTCTCACTGCCCGACCGAAAGCTGCTACCTTGACGTGGTGGTCGGGCTTGCACATCGTGATGACCCAACAAACTACACTGGCTGGAACCAATGTTCCTGCAGGTCCTACCATGCTAGGAAAGTTGTTAGGATAGCGATTAGACTAAAAGCAGTTACCGGCATTGTGTAAGAATCCTTCTTACACAATGCTGGCGGTTGAGGGCGAAGTCGTACTGCTGGGAAACAGGGATGTAACAGCAGTGAAGCTGTTTCCTTCAGATGACCAGCATGTCAGCTATGCTGTCTCTCCACTCCGGAGAAAGGGGGTTAGAAAAGGTCGACCCCAAAAATTGTACATCCCGACTTACCTTATGGTGGTCCGTAACCGGCGGTAAGTTTCCTAAGACGGAACCAAACCAAGGAACCAGTTCATACAGGCCGTGTGTGACCGGCATCAAGCAGTTGTCCCCTGGGCTCTGCGGTCACGCAACACTAATCCTCTCTCTGTTTCAGGTACGCGAAGAACCAATCAACTTCCACGGTGTGGGCATCCGGGAAGTAACAACCGCCCACACACTTCCGAAAGCACACGAAGCCTTCCTGAGCATCATTCTGGTTCTCACTGCATAAGAACTTTGGCTGCTGTTGACGACATCATGATAGCCACTCCCTTAGTGTGCTCGTGGTTGTCATCGGGATTATTATTATTATTGTTATTACAACTATGCTCTAACAGTCATATGTTTTTAGCTAGTCTCAAGTTGAAACATGCTGAAAGACAGTGTGAGATCGTCTTTAAAACAAAGTGGTGTATTTAAAACAGTCAGCAAGAGTTTGAGTAGATATCGATTTTTTTTTGTCTGTTATTGTTTTTCTCTTTTTCTTATTGCCTTTATCTAGCCATGGAAATTGTTAAATGCAGAGTATGCTTGGTCACGAGGTTTATGCGGTAACGGTGTACGTGTTGGTATATTCGATACTGGATTAGCGTCACCGGATCATCCACATTTTCTTTCAAGTAATATCATTGAAAGAACTGATTGGACAGTGGATATGAGTAATGTAAGTTGAGTAGTCTTGTAATGAAGATTTGTTATTCATACATTGATTTAAAAAATTCCCGTTAGAAAGTCTAATTGCTCTTGTGGGAATAGTTACACAGGTAGAATAATGACTCGGCAAACCTACCGTCACCTTCTTTGAGTATTGTTCAACGTGGTTAGGTAGAGGAGTTGTAAAATCAATCAGTAGTACATCTAGCTTTTTTCTTTTTATTCCTTCACATTCCCAGTGGAACATAAGGCTTCAAGCTAGTGGATTAAAGTTTCTGTAGCAGTGGTGATTGTTTTTACAGGATGGGGTTGCTAGCCTCATGCCTGACCTTTCCTCTTTACCAGCGTTTTTTTTTATTTCTGGTTTGGCGAGGTAAAGGAGTGCGTCTGTGGCCGGGGATGGAACCCCTGACCATGTGCCTGGTCGGCGAGCGTCCTAACCGTTGTGCCACCGACGCACGTACATCTAGCTGACTAGTACCAAATTGGATGAAATGCATATCATAGACTCCACTAACCCAATAACCAATTCGAAGTATTAACGATATGCAGCAACTCAGACAAGTCCTCATGGAAAATGGATATCCTCCAAGATTCTTCGAGAAAAACATGAAGTTAAAGCAAAAGACTGAAAGAACCCAGACGGTGCCGAAGAAACTGCCATTTATCAACGTTGAATTTAAAGGTGATACCGCAGCTGAGATCCTGAAGAATCGCTTATCCAGATCACTGATCACGGATCAAGTTCTACAGGTGACAAATGATCAATGGATTTTTGAAGGATAAACTGCCGTTTTGGACGGGCCACTTCAATGTGTGTTTATAAATTCACCTGCTCGTGTGTAGCTAGTTATATTGGCCGCACAAGGAGCACACCTTCCAAAAGCATCTCTGAACATCATCCGAAATGGTTAACAAAACGACAATGCAAGACAATCACTAACTCAATTCTCGAGCACTTGGTGAACTTAAGCCACGTAGCTCCACAAGAGCCATCTTTCAAGATCATTTACAAGGTGAGGCCAAATGGTACAAAGGGCGTCAGGTTTCGGCATTTGTGTACGACGGAGGCGTTGGTAATTCATCAATACAACCCTGAATTCTGTATACAGAGGAAGTTTGTCCAGTCTCTTATTCTACCTTCGCCTTAACCTCTTTACTAGTCCTTCCTTGTAAAAAATTTAAATTTTTTTAAATTTTCAATTCTACTTTTAGTTTGCTTTTACTTCAGTAATTAACTGACTATTATCTGACTGACTGACTGGTTTCACCATAGAACTTTGCACCAATATTCAGCAGTTCCAGTCGCCACACTCCATGTAGCACACAAAGCAAGAGAAGAAAGTAAAAGAAGTGCAAAACAGAGACAGTAAACACAAATATGAGTTAAAAGGGATAGTAAAATGGAAGAACAATAGAATTCTATTGGATATTATAGATCACAAGGAGTGGATGCATGTTCACCAGCCATTGAGATCGATTTCGAGCCATATCACCAATTGTCTCCAGCCTTCATTTGTTTTTATTAACTAGGAAGTCTACACTTCCCTGCGTGGCTTAAACTAACTGTTGTGGATTTCATTGACTGATGAAGCCATGTTTTCGTTTGACCACCAGTAGCCAACTCTTTTCCAACCTGATCCATCCTATGTCAGTCAGCCAACATTGCCTGTCGAGGAAGGCGATGGCTAGGGATGCATTCGTAACAAATGTCCTAACCATCTCTCTCAATGGGTGGAACTTCACAGCCTTGTCTATTGATCTCCCCTCCTTATCTAGCACTCGACCGATGCCTAACCTCAATATTGCTCACCTTATTATACCACTTAACACGGGAGATAGAACGCAGGCACCTATGATCAAAGGCAGCCAGCTAGCTGGCCTTTCAATGTCTTCCACTTTCCATAGCCATTTCTCACAGCCAGCCAGCCATAAAAGAGGACGGAGCGGACTGTTGAGCAGTACACACCCCCTTCGGTTGATAGCCGGATATCACGTCTGCTAAGCCAGAGATGGCGTAAGTTGGCATATGCCAAACGAGCCTTCTGTATCCTTGCTGGGGCTAATGCAACTTCCCAAATAAGTGAAGTGGTCAGCAAACTCCACTAACCACTTCACTCCCAATTTCTAAGCTAGGGTTCAGTGTAATCCAGTCCAATTCACTATTATCACTTTCATATGTTCCTTTTGCACATTTTCACATTCTTTTCACACTTGTTATATTGACACTCAACTACCTGTATTCTCACTCAATAGAAATTTTAACCTTATCAAATTTCATACGCTTTCTTCCTCTGTGCTGGTGCATACTACGTAATTTACAACTTTTATTTTTACTTCTAAAGCCACTTCTGAGTAATTATATCAAGTATGTCACCCCCTATTATTCAGTAATAGACTACTATACTATACTACTATTATAAATACGACTGTATAGCCATCTGAAGATGATTTCGTCGATAAAGAAAATTTTCTTCACTGAATTGTCTTTGATTTTCTTCATGATTCGATAAAAATCTAAACAAACATTGATGACATTGCTAGTTTATTTCGACTCTTTAACGGTCTGTCATTATTAAATCTCTTGAGGATGAAATTAAACCCTAACAGTCCCTACAGTCTGTGCTAACGCATAGTCTTTGATTGTTAGATCTGGTCATGAACTAACATCAGTTAAAGATTATTGACAAACCAGGGAGCACTGGACAGCCGTTTTGTCAGCCTGTAACGACAGAAGGCAAGAGTCAGGCAACAGATCATTTATTAAGGAAATCAACGCATATTTATATATTTCATGTACATTACTATGGATATGTAAACAAACAAACACAGTCTTCCGATTGGTTGTTTCTCACGTAAAGTTAATGTCAAATCCTCTATATGTTAACTGCATCCGCCTACGCAAAGTCTGCTGTGGTCGGTTTTGAATCAATCTTTGTTCACATTTTCTCACGACAAATCTTGGGAACGTAAATATTGACGTAAATTACTGTCTACCGATTTGGTTAGTAGACAGCTCTCACCACAAGCCTAGTTTGGAACTCTTCATCAGTACGACACCGTACCGAGGTTCGAACCCAGGACCTCTTGGTTACAAGGCGAGCTTGCATACCATTCAGCCACTGGGACCCGACCCAGTGGCTAGCTTATGAATTCTAACTTCTGCCAATTCATGACATAGCGCGACCATTTCGCAATGTCTTCTTCGATGGGTTACTGCCTCACCTTCAACCTGCTGTACCCTACTGGTCATGGCTTCTCATTAGAACCCTAGGTAATCTGCCTGAAGAGGGCATGTCGCTAGTGAGCATCAGATCAATTTTCAAGTATTGGTTTTGCAGGGGTTATTTGTTCGATTGGTTGGATGTTTTCATCATGTGCTGACATCGATTAGAGAACCATTGGGAAACCTGCAGAGAGTACTGGTCAGTACCAGAGTTTACCCTCCATTACAAACCAACTTTAATTAGGTTTTAAGAACATTGTAACCTAAAACAAAGAATAAATCTTGTTAGTAAAGCAGGATTGAATGAATTCATAGAATTTTGGTAGAACTCTTCAGCTGCTCAATACCCTATGTGCAATGATAAGCATACTATTAGAAAAACATTGTGAGATATATGACTGATAAGTAAATAAACATAAATAATCAATCGCGGAAACCGACATGTGTGAATAATGGAGCATTTGCCAAAGTAGTTGAAAACATCTGAAGTTAAAGTACCAAAAAGTTCAATAACAAACCATCTTACATACTACGCACATGATATTGAAGCTGTTGAGTCAAGTTCAGTGTTGTCAGGAGACAAACAAACAGGAAGATGCTTCCAATTGCAAAAGAGGCTTCTGTACACCGGAGTTTATAAACCCCAGTCTCTGTGTACAGAGGCTAATGGTGGTCACTTTGAGAATATCTTTTACTTATCAACTGTTGTTATTTAGTTGGTGGATGGTAGAACCTAGGATGCGCATTTCGTCATATTTGGGACTCGTCATCTGAATGTACCTGCATTTCCCAGTAAGCGGTGATGTTCCCCTCGAGGCTAGAACCCAGTGCCCATAGTTTCAAATGCCAATCCACTAAACCTTTTGGGCCACGAGAGCCACTTCTTGTGCAACGGGCTATGCTAATTTAATTTAAGATTTTCCCGTCGATTGAATTAACATGGCCCGTTGCACAAGAGGTGGCTCTCGTGGCCCAAATGGTCTAGTGGATAACGCTTTGGCGTTTGAAACTATGGGCACTGGTTTCGAGCCTCGGTGGGAACATCATCACTCACTGAGAAATGCAGGTACATCTAGCTGGCAGCCGAGTCCCAAATAGGACGAAACGCGCATCCTGGATTCCACTGCGAGTCATCATCCACAAATTAAATTCTGATTACATGCTTAAACATCGTTGAAGCATCTGCACAAGAAGCCGACATGTCAACCTGAAACCGAGCACTTCGGTCCAATCAATCGATGGGAAAATCTAAAATTAAATTAAGCTGTTGTTATTATTCATTCATTATTTTTGATTAAACTCTCCTTACATACTGGCTGACCGGTGTCGAGTATATGTTTAATTATAGCACTCCTTATTGATCCACTCTCACCTTTTCGTGGCCAAGTAGGATTATGGTATTGGACACTTTTAGATAAAACGCGCATCGAACGACCTATATATGTCACTGCACATGAGCAAGTAAACTGGTAGATACACAAATAGACGTGGTCAAATGCGATAGTTTATCTCTAGGGTTGTTGAAGAACAGTAGGCGGCATGAGAATGCAAATCTCAATGTAGCAGCAGAGAATATTCTTTACATGGCGTTAGATATTCTCCTCTTTAGAATGTCACCCAGAAGGTCGCCTTTGAACACCACATTCATGCATAGCATCTTCGTCGACACATAGATGGATTGTTCTTTATTGATTTTTGGCTTTATGTGTTTATCTATAAAGCATGGTGGGGTTCCAACTCCCAGCGGGTGCGTGTGCTGCTGAAGAGTCTTAAACTAGGCTGACAAAACAGCTGTCCAGTACTCCCTGTGGCTGTTTTCCAATAGTTCTCTAACCGATTATGTCAGCTCATGATGAAATCCTCCAACCAATCAAACAAAAAAAATTCCCTACAAAACCAATGCATGAAGATATCACGAATTGACAAAGAGTTCATGGGTCACTGAACTCCTCCCTTTCAAGTGACTGAATGATCAATGATTTTGATCTCATAACGTGAAAATCCCCGATTCGATCCCTAGTGGGTGAGTGAGTATCTTAACAATTCCAATAAGAACCACCAATTCGTTGAAGTATCTGGTTAAATCACGGAATATAAACGTTTGATCATAGGGAATAATAAAAAGACAGTTGCAGCGAAGAGGAAAATTTTCTTTTCGACGAAGTCACCGTCAACTAGGCTGTAGATTCGTGTATTTATAATAAATGGGTAGGAAAGTTCCAGAATAATTTCTGGTCAAGGGTCAGATTAATAGAATTACAATTAGGAATTAAAATGCCATGATAAACAGGGACGGGGGACGGATAAAGCTCAAACAAAGTAGCATCATAATTACTGAGAAGATTGACATATTGTGCAATTAGGGGTTAGAAATGTAGAAATAACAACAATAGACAGGATGTTTGGATAAAAAACCTAGTGAGATCATAACTAATGTGACGAATAATTGTTTATGCAGTTAGGGATTAAATATGTAGAAATAATAAAATAGTAAAATAGACAGGAACATCGGATATGAAAATATGGTAGTGTAAATAGGGATTAAGAAAAACTTAAAATAACATGAATAAACAGAAAGTTTGGATAAGAAAGTCAATGGGATAGTCACTATTAGAAGAATTACCTGTTTATGATGGCCATGGCAGGGACGAGGGTTGGACGTATTTCTTTTGGATACATAGCATGTGTTTGAGCTTTTGGATGGCTAGTGCCTCGGCTATGCCCAGATGTCTTAATTTTACTCCCTTTGATAGGTTTGATCGAATCTTGTATATTATTTTGAAGGATTTTTCGAATGGCGCTGAATGTCCTGTATTGGCCAGATGTTCTGTCACTGAACTATATACACGTTTTTTCGTTCTCCTTTTACTAGCCAGGCTGGATAGTGTTCACGAGCGCGTTTTGTCAAGTTGGCGCATGGTACGGCCGATGTACTCCGGTTAACCTAGTTAAAGTAGAAATGTATTTTTTTCAAAGTGTTGTGCTTTCATATCATGAATATATTATCGTTTTTGTTCCTATTTTTTTTTTCTGCACTTTAGAAATCTAATTCAAAAAGCGATATTATAGCCCTGGATAGACATGGGCATGGAACCTATGTAACTGGTCTTATTTCTGCACAGAATCCTGATTTATACTATACCAGCTCTGAGGATAGTTCTTCTTCTTCTAGTACTACTACTTACTATCAACGAAGAACAAGCCGGCGGTACTACGACTACTACGACGACGACTTGTCCACCATGGGGATTTGCACCAAAAGCTGATTTATTTATATTTCGTGTTTTTACTGACCTCCAACTGTCGTATACTTCATGGTTTTTAGATGCATTCAATTATGCTATCAGTCGAAAACTGCATGTAATCAATTTGAGCATTGGTGGACCAGATTTTTTAGATAAACCATTTGTTGACAAGGTAATTGTGATTAGACGTTGTTTTTTCCCCATATTGTGTAGTAATTTATCAGGACAAAATGTTTGATTTTTTTAAGATGTTAATATTTACCAAAAATGTATAGTAGTCTATTGTTGAGTAATAGGGGGAGTGTGTGACATAATTGATATAATTGCTCAGAAATGGCTTCAAAAGTATAAATAAAAGTTATGAATTGCGTAGCATTCGATGGCACAAAGGAAGAAAGGTTTAGAATTTGATAATTTCGGATTTTGAGGGCTGCCCACATCGTGGAAGTTGGTTGTGCGACCGCAGAGCCCAGGGGACAACTGCTTGAGGCCGGTCACACGCGGTCTGTTTTTGTTTGTTCTTTTTTATTTGGTGTGTCTCAGTAGCATATTTATCACTTCTGCCTTGTGACACGGCAGCAGGAAGCGCGGTCGTTGTTAATCCGGGCCCCGACTGATCTGGCATGATATTTTGTGATTTTGTTTGGGTCATAGATTTGGATTGGGTAACTGCTTTTTGTCTAACCGCTATCCAAACAACCTTTCTGGCAAGGTAGGACCTCAAGCGACATAAGTCTCAGCCAGTATAGCTTGTTGGGTCATTGCAGTGTTCAAGCCCGACCACCACGTCAAGGTAGCAGCCTTCGGTCGGGTAGAAATTTGATAAGGTAAAAATTGATATTGAATAAGAAAGGTCATAGTTGAGTATCAAATTTAACAAGTGTGAAAAGAGTGAGGAAACGTACAAAAAAAGAACATGTGAGAGTTATAATAGTGAATTCATTATCAAAGTAAAAGCCAACTAAATGTAAAATTGAAAATAAAATCTTTTACAGGGAACAGCTAGTGAAGAGGTTACGACGAAGGTAGAATAAGAGACTGCACAAACTTTCTCTGTATAAAGAGTTCGGGTTTGTATTGACGAATTGCTAACGCCTCCGTCGTACACAAATGCCGAAACCTGACGCCCTTTGTAACATTTGGCCTCACGTTGTAGATAATCTTGAAAGACGACTCTTGTGGAGCTACGTGGTTTCAGTTCACCAATTGCTCGAGAATTGAGCTAGTAATTGTCTTGCATTGTCGTTATGCTAACCATTCCGGATAATGTTCAGAGAGGCATTTGGAAAGTGTGCGCTTTGTGCGACCAATATAAGCCCGAACTCTGTATACAGAAAGAGGTTGTACAGTTTCTTATTCTACCGTGGTCTTAGCCTCTTCAGTAATCGTTCCCTGTAAAAGGTTTTATTGTTTAATGTTCAACTTTACTTTAATTTTGCTTTTTGCTTTAATAATTAGTTCACTATTATCATTCTCACATGTTATTTTTGTACGTTTCCTCACTGTTTTCACACTTGTTTATTTGACACTCAACTACCACCTTTATTCTCACTCACAACAATTTCAACCTTATCAAATTTCAAACGCTCTCTTCCTGAATGCCGTTGAGTGCTACGTAATTTACAAATTTTATTTTTTTACTTTTATGTTAATAGATTTGATTGTATTTTGACTTCCTGGAAGTGTTCCTATCAGTTTCAACTAAGTAACACTAAATGTAGAGACTACAGACTTTTAATGTTATTCATTGAATAGTGGTCAGTGGTTACCGTGACTGTGAGACATGGTCGTTAAAAGTGCAAGATATGAAAAGGCTGGATGTCTTTCATCATAGGTGTCTGCGTCCTCTCTCTCTCTCTCGTGTTTATTGGTATAATAATATGGTGAGCAATATTGAAGTAAGGCATAGAGTGTCAGGTAAGGAATGGAAGTCAGTTGATGTGGCTGTGAAGCTTCATTGATTGAAGTGGTTACGACATGGCATCAATCGATGAAAACCAAAACAGTTAGTTTAAGCCAGCCACGTAGGAAGGTGCAGACTTCCTGGTTGGGGTCTTCGATACGGTAAAAACCAATGATGACTGGAGACAATTGGTGATATGGCTCAAAATCGTTCTCAATATCTGTTGCAGATGCATCCACTACTTGTGACTTATAATATCCAATAAAACTATATTGTTCTTCGATATTACTATTTTTTATGCCTCATATCTATGTTTACTGTCTCTGTGTTGCACTTCTTCTCTTGCTTTGTGTGCTACATGGAGTGTGGCGACTGGAACTGCTGCACATCTGTGCAAAGTTCTACGCTGAAACCAGTCGGTCAGTCAGTCAGTGGTTACGACACGTGTCACAAACACGAAGCCACCACCTTTCTATACGATCAACATTAGCCGACATCGGATTAGGTTGGGAGAGAGTTAGGGATGGCAAAATCAAAATGTGGAATCTATCCAGGAAGAATTCTACCATTGGTTTGTGCCTTACTAGGGTCCTGGGGATGATGCTTAGAACTAATGGCTGGGGAATCTGGTGGCCTGCTTAAAACTTGGGCTACCAGAAAAACCACCATCTCTCTGGTGCATATATTTTCTTTCGTTCGGTTTGTTCTAATCGATTAAGATATGACCTGTAATGGTATTACCTGTTTCGCAAGTCCCTACTAAACTTAAGGAATGGCCTGAGATTGTGGGTGGCAACGTGTTCCAATACAACATGAGATAACTGTCTCAAAATGTACTTCTGAACATCTTACAATTGGCTTTCAACTAGATATCGTGGATGGATTTCTTGAAGGAGACAAAGCAGATATATCATAATAGAATGGTTTTTGTCTCAGCTCAGATAGCACAGTGTCACAGGATGTATTGTCAATTGACATTTTCTTGGAGATATTGTACGAAGGGAAAATATTATGTAGTAATCTCCTCTGAAAATTCTGTACATTTTATAAATACTGTCCAGAATAAAGATGTTATTATATTATTATTTTGGTGATGCAGATCAAAATCGTCCTGGATTACTCAGATGCAAACACTCTTTGGAAACCTCTTAGATCTATTAAACCTTCCTGTTTTCTCATGTTGCTTACTATTCTCCTTCTCCCATACATTTCTGCTCATTATAGTTCCCTTGAACGTTTCCTCTCTATCTTCTTTGTACTACATGGAGTTTGCCAACTTCACTTCTTTGCAATGAGCCATGCATTACTCTCGTTTTAGTCTCCTTAATTGGGTGGATTTCTTTTGTGCTGTGGTTGTTTTGTGACTTAATTCCTTAACGTTCCCAGCAGGACATAGGGGGCTTCAAGCTAGAGGCTTGAAGTTTCAGTAGCAGTGGTATTCATTTTTACGGGTTGGAGTTGCTAGCCTCATGCCCAACCTTCCTTCTTTACCAGTCTTATTTACCGGCCTAGCGAGGTGAAGGAGTGCGTCTGTGGCCGGGGATCAAACCCCGGACCAGTTGAAGCGTGGTTGGCGAGCATTCTACCGATGCACTTTGTGACTTAATAGCCTAGTGAATAAAATGTCGTTCAAGTTGATGGGTGTCGGACTCGAGTTCCAGCAGAAACGCTCTGATACAAACAAAAATAATGTTCAAAATTAGGTAATCTAGTGAAAGGGTGATGTTTAGTCAATACCCACAACAAAACAGAATGACACTTCACCCACAATTTGTAAAGCAAAGTATCTGACACTCTTCGGGGGCTGATCAATTGTTGTCTTACCATTCCCAGAGAAATGTATTCCTCGACGACATTTAGAGGAGTATCAGATTTCATGCTGGGTTTTGCGTAACAGTTCATATTGCTATGTCTAATATTTACTTGTCGAGTAAAATATAGTGAGTAATGAAAATCTCTCTTGCTTTTTCTGTTCTGGCTAGATTCGACCTCCTCATGTGTTTCACCTGTTGTGGAAACAATGCTACCCAGATAAGTGAAAGAGGCAGCTTTCTTTAGATTTCACTTGTTGATGGTGATTGGCTCTTGTTGTTGTTGTTGATGGTTGGCTTGATTTCGCTGTCTCTTTTACCTATTAACTAGTTTTCGCCTTTACATTTTCGAGTTTGTGCCGCAAGGTTCAAATCTTTTAGAGTCTTTTTGCTGGTCCAACGTATGCCCGTGTGTTTGCTCCCCAAGGTCTGGTCCAATCCACCATATTCAGGAAGATCATTGGTGCTTCTGTATAGTTCAGTGTGTCACGAAAAGCATTTCCCAACAGGCTTCAGAGTTTTATCAACAGCTGCCTTCACTGAATACTAAAAATCATGATAGCCAGAAAAGATAAGCAACATGGAACACTCTGGCAATGAACCTACCAATAACTAATCGCTAAACAATTATGAATTGGCAGAAGTTGGAATTCAAGGACCATTGGATCGAGTCCCAGTGGCTCAATGGTCCACGAGCTCGCCTTGTAACCAGGAGGTCCTGGGTTCGAAACCCGGTACGGCGTGGTGTACTGATGAAGAGTCCCAAACTAGGCTGACGAAACAGCTGTCCAGTACTCCCAGCTGGTTTTCCAGTGGTTCTCTAACTGATGTCAGCTCATAATGAAGTCCTCCATGCAATCAAACAATTATGAGGCAAGAAATGAACATGAATTAAACCTACGCTTAGAAGACTCTTGTGCTTCTTGGCTGGAGCTCGAATAGAAAATGGCGAGTTAGATATCGCCTCGAGGATGACATAGAAGGAGATTATGTGAGGAGAAAATGAAATCTTGTGGGCAATCGTTGAGCCAGCCAAAAATCGACCGCCAAGAACATAGTGAAACGGAAATGTGTTGCTAAAGCCCTGCGTATTCTACACGGAACCCAAAGGAATAATGATAATTCATTTCTCGCCTTTCCACTGGATCATAGACCTTCGGCAGCACACCTACATTGTACTCTATTCCACGACTTCCCTAATAGCTTTGATTTCCACATCACATGGTTTCCTCCATGTCAACCTCGTAAATCCAAGAGCTAAATTAATAGGGTATTTTTTTGTTGTCTTTCCAGTTTAAGATACTTACTTTACTTTACTTTACTTCGGCTATCTCCTACGGGAGGATGAGCCGGCTTCATGAACATCTCGAATAGAGTTCATGAAGTTTCATGGGAATTTGGTACGAGTGATGTCCCCAGAATCGCTCGGCCTTTTGTTCGAGAGTGCAGCTCTAGCCTTTACACAACCAAGTGTGACCTACAAGGCAGTAGGAGTGGAGTACGGAGTCCACTATCCATTGGCAGCCGGTGACCGCAGTTCGGTTCATACGCCTTTTTGAATGGGGCCAGACATCCAGGACATCCAACAAGCCCTTTGTCCATACGTCTGCCGGTGAGCTCCAGTGAGCTTCATACGCCAGTCGTTGGAGGTTTGGAATCAGGGTTTAGCCATCTCCCCTAGACTGTCATCCAATGGACAGTCAACCCGGTGGAGAGCGCCGGGCATCCGCTTTCGCCCTCTCACTTTGGCGAAAAACACCTCCGCCACGTGAAGGCAGTGAGTAGGACTTCCTCAGGAGAGGCTATGTAAGACGCCCGGTCATATGGGAGCATTTCAAGAGGTGTGTGGAGAGGTGGCCAATCCGCAGCGCAAGGCACCCACCCCCGACCATCCTGAGGCTTTGGAGGCCTTCCAATTTAAGATGGCTTATTTAGCGTGATTTGACTTAGCAGCATGGTTCGCCTCAACACACAATCTGCATTTTTTCCGGACAAGTATTCACTTAATGACAATTAAATCTTTTCTCATGTCTATATGTTAAATTTCTCTTTTAAATAAAAAAAATTTATTTTCAAGGTTTTAGAATTATCTGCCAATGGAATACTCTTAGTTTCTGCTATTGGAAATGATGGTCCTCTGTTTGGTACACTGAATAATCCAGCTGATCAAATGGATGTACTTGGTGTTGGTGGTGTCGATGCTTTGGGTCGTGTTGCACGTTTTTCATCTCGTGGAATGACTGGTTGGGTATGTTGGTTGAAAAAAAATTCCATTTTATGTTTGTATTATTATCTTCTTTCTTATGTGGTTGGTATTGCTTATGAGTTCATATTACCAGACATAGTGGATTTGTTTTTGGTTAATTGACTTTATTTTATTTACTTATTTATTTAAACGCAGAAAAACTTGGTACAATATGGCACCAAGAAAGATGCGCCACACAATAATAATAAAACAACATAGATTAAAAGTAAAAATATAAGTAGAAAACGGATAAAGAACTTCATCAGGAAGTAAAACAGTCATGTTTAACAAGTTCAAACAGTATTCGTTAACTGTCATCAGGAAGGGAAGAAAGAAGGAAATTGCGACACGTTCACCATTGATTACGATTCTTGGCCATATCTGATAACATTTCGAGCTATCTCCCGATGCTAATATAGCACAAATATCCTTCATCCCACGACGCCACGTCATGGACTGATCACCCCTCCGCCTTTTCCATCCCGTCCCAGGGCTAGCGAACAGAGATCTGTACGGAAGCCTGTGGGATGACATTCGCAGCACATTTCCAAGCCACCGGAGCCGGTGTTTCCAGATGACGACACTAAATTAACGGTAATCTCCACTGTGTTCAAACACACGCCGCCGAACCTCAGAATTACTCACGCGATGATGCCATCAAACGCAAGCGATCTTGCGGAGACAGCGATGATCGAACACGCAGAGTCGCCTCACATCCTCAGCTCGGAGAGGCCAGGTTTCACAGGCGTAGAGCAAGACAGCCCACACCGAAGCATTGTAAACCCGACACCTTTGACAGCCAGGCTAACGTCGCGACGGCGCCAGAGGTGGCTCAAGTTGATGTATGCCACCCTAGCCTTCATTATACGGTTGAAAATCTCATCCGTCACCCCTCCGCCAGCACTCACACAACTACCCAGGTACACAAACTTATCAACAACTTCAAGCGGTTCACCCACAAGAGTGAGTGCAGGTACAGGTTCCTGCCAATCTTGTAACAGTACTTTGCACTTAGACGGTGCAAAGCACATACCATACTTACACACACTTTTTATTTTATTTGTTTCGAATTTGATGGCGGATTGATATCAGAAAGTATTGGACATCTGTTTCGTCCTAGTTTCGGACCCCTCAGCAGTACGTGCTCACGACCCCCCCAGGGATCGAACCTAGGACTATCAAGTTACGAGGCCAATTCAGCCACTTGCACCGGAATTCTCTGATCTGTGCATTCCAACTTCTGTCAAGTATTTTTCCTAACACCCGACCTGATGAACCCCGCTAGTCATGGATTCTCGCTAGAACTGCAAACAACTTCGTCATATAGTCAGTCACTGGCGAACAATTGATCTATCTCAAATTTGATCACGCATTGATATCAGTGAGAAAAAATTTCGATTACTGTAAAAAGTTTGAAAAAAAGAAGAAAAAGGTACCTACCAACTGGAAGAAGAGCTACCTCGTCAAGCTGCCAATTAAGGAAGACTTAAGCCTGTGCAATAACTGCCGTGGAATAATGCTCTTGTCTACACCAAGTAAAATACTAATTCGCATCATCCTGAGGAGAGAATAAAGGATGCACTGAATACAGAACTCCGCCCCCAACAGAACAAGATGAATTCAGGAAAGTTAAATCATGTGCTGATCAAATTGAAACTCTACGCATCGTCATCACAGAACAAAGCATAGAATGGCAGTCAAACCTCTCCCTATCTCAACTTCATTGACTTCGAAAAGGCTTTCGTCGACAGCGTAGACCGAGAAGTAATTTGGAAACTACATAGACACTACGGCGTACTTCAAATCTTTGTCAACCTCAATCAACAGCTGTATGACAGTGTCACGTGTCGGGTGGTCCACAACGGAAAACTCAGCGAGGCGTTCGAAGTGCATACAGGAATGAGACAGGGTTGGTTGCTTATTATCACCGATGATATTTTTTATTGTGGTGGACTGGATTATGCGTCAGAATACTGAGGGCAAGAAGTCAGGAATACGCTGGACGACAGATAAGAAGACTCTAGAAGATATGGATTTCGCGTGTGCATGATTTTTGTTTAGTGTCACACAAACTCGAAGACCTACAGGCAGGCGAAAACCAAAAAACTGGCTGAATAAGCTGCCAGCGAAAACAGGACTCCAGGTGAACATAGAGAAGACGGAGGTGATGAAAATAACCAATCAGCAGTAGCAACAACCAGCACTAATCACCATCGACGGGGGGGGGGGGGTTAACAGAGGTTGCCTCCTTGACTTACCTAGGAAGCATCGTTTCAACTACAGGTGGGACGGACAAAGATGTCAAGTCTGGTCAAAATCGGAAAGGCAAGATACTCCTTCATCAACTTGAAATCAGTTTGGAAATCTTCTGCACTCTGCAGCATAAGGAACAAGATTCGCATTTTCAACACTAACATCAAGTCGGTTCTTCTATACGGGTCAGAAACTTGATCAGCGTGTCACTAAAAAGATTTCTAGCAGCCTGTTGCAGACTTTCATCAACAGCTGCCTCTTTTTATGGCTACATACTGAAGATCAAATGGCCAGAAAGAACTAGTAACAAGAAACTCTGGCTGAGCACAAATCAACAGGCTTAAGACGATTGTTCAACGAATATGTAGGAGAAAATGGAGATGGATAGGGCATACACTGAGGAAAGCGTCGAATGACATCGCGTGCAATGCAGGTCATTGCTCGAGTGGGATCCGTATGGGAAGAAACGAGTGTGTCGCTGGTGCGAGGGTAACATGGAGGAGATGGTGTGTGTTGCAGGAGGAGATGAGAGATTATGGTCAATCGTGGACCCGGCTGAAGAGGACTGCAGAAAACGGAACAAAGTGGAGATTTGTTGTTAAAGCCCTATGTTCCACACGGAACCCAAGGGAATCATAATAATATATAATAGAGGAAAATTTATCAGGAATGTGTCATTATGTCTTAGGTTCATATTGGCCGAATGAATGAACTTTTAGTGTAACTGAGTCAGCATATTAATTCACTTCCCTCCCCCCATAAGTGCCACAATGTGTATGTGTGTTTAAAATCTACATATTTTAACATTAATAGTGAAGATTTGAAGCTCATAGGGATGATTTTGATGTGGCTGTAATGACTGAGTTAGGCGATTTAGTTGTGAAACTACCTTTGTCTTAATGAACAACACATTCAGAGCCGTAAATCACTATGATTTGAAGTTATTTGAATTCCCCATGGATGATATAATTGTATCACCGCAAAGCTTGTCAGCAGATTATATGAATATCATTCATGGCGAATTCAAATAACTTGACAGCGTAAGTCGAAGGAATCTGAAGGAAAAAACCTCCTTTATATACCTGAGAAGCATCGTTTCAACTACAAGTGCAACTGACGAGGATATCTAAGCGAGGATCGGGAAAGCAAGATAAGCTTTCATTACTCTGAAGTCGGTGTGGAGGTCAACAGCCCTACTCAGTATGAAAAATAAGATGCTGATTTTCAACTCAAGTGTGAAGTCAGTGCTACTATACGGATCAGAGACTTGGCGCGTCACGAAGGGAACTTCGAACAAACTACAAACTTTCGTCAACAGCTAGCTCTTCGCTCAATACTGAAGATCAGATGGCCGGTCAGAAAAGATTAGCAACAGGGAGGGAACTCTGGCAATGAACCAAACAACGCAGCAGAAACCAACTGTGCAAGAAATATGCAGGAAGAAATGGAGGTGGATTGTGGCCATACTCTGAGAAAACAAACCACCAAGTGAGTGACATGACACGCCAGGCTATTGCTCGAGTGGAACCCGAGCGAATGGGAAGCGGCGAGTTGGTCATCCGAGGGTGATATGGAGGAGGTGATGTGAAGAGGAGATGAAAACATGTGGGCAGACGTGGAGCCAGGCGATGAAAACGTTGGCAGAGAACCGAACGTAATGGAGACGTGCGGCTGAATCCCTCTGTTCCTCTGGGAACTAAAGTAAACAATAATAATATAATAAAGCTTGAATTGATGGTGTGGTTTAGAAGGATAACGAAAGCTTCTCAATTATAACCACCACTCTGACCAGAGTTTCTTTCCAATAATTTTTTGTAAAATAAGAAGTAATTTACATACTACTTATTTACTTGTGTGAGTAGTTTTTAACAATTAGTACCAGTCATTCGTACATGGTAGCTTTGTGAAAGTTATTTAAGGAGGACACTGAATACGTTATACGCGGAATTGGCACAAAGGTTGTTTAACATGATCTTTTAGATCTTCACCTGCCATCAGTGGTAACTTGCTCGACGTGACTAAGTCTTGGGCTGGGTCTTTTTATAGGGTCAAGAACGTAAATGGACTGTGAAGTTGACTTTAAATTTTGTTTCGATTAGTAATAAAGGATACCATTAAATAGTTATTACAAATAGTGTACTCATGGATATTCTGCTTTATGCTTTCTTGTCTTCTTCGCCTCTTTTCTACTCTTGTGATACTGTAGGAGCTGCCGACAGGTTATGGACGTGTTAAACCAGATATTGTGACATTTTCTACTGGTGTAATCAGTTCTAGTTTAGACGGAAAATGTCGTGTACTATCTGGAACGAGTGTAGCTTCGCCGATTGTTACTGGAGTTGTTATCTTACTGATTAAGTAAGTGAATATATACATTTGATGACTTGGTAATTCTTTTTCTCACTGACATTTAGGGATTGATGTAGACATTTGAATGATGTACTAGTGAGCTGCATGATTTTGTTACATTTTCAAATCTCATACCGAACACTAATCCCCTTTAGATTTCAGGTGTCCCCATAAGTCACCTGGTATGGCCGAGGGTGGGTAGACTTTGGTCCTGCCTATACGGAAATGCTTCCATGTGACCATACGCATTCATAACCTCTGTCAAGTAAGTCTTGTTTAGTGCCTTCACGATGTGGCAGTGTTTCTCACAAAAGTGAGACGATGAATGCGAATCTCTGGCGCTTACAATTGGACTGGTGGATATGTAGGTCTACCTAGGAGAGCTGGAAAACTGTGATTCCAAACATACGGTGTGTACATGGGCTCCGGAGTTCCTAAAGGATCGGATGAACCTGTTTTGGTCACTGGAAACCGTGGAAAATTAGCTCTTCACATTGCTCCACTACCTTGTGAATGTGAATTCAAGTCAAAGGAAAATGAAACGATTTTCGTCTGTAAGTTCGTGAACTTTACTCTGGTATGTATGTGGTGGTAGCGTTATAGTTTAGTGTAGTAGAATTCATCCGAAAAAGATGATTTATAACATGGAACTCAACAGCTACATATACTTACTCTGCCTTTGCAGTGAATCACGCCCAATGTTAGAACTCTAGCGGTATTATTATTATCCTTTGGACTCCGAGTGAAACATAGAACTTCATCAACACATCTCCTCTGATATTCTTATTTTGGCTGACTCCATGATTGTCACATAAGCTTGCATCTCCTCCTCGCCTAATCTCCCTCCATTTCACTCTCGAAATGACGCCCAACTCGTTGTTTCTTGTTCAGGTTGTACATGATGGCTTGAATGGCTTGTGGTATCACTTGAATACCTCTTCAGCTTAGGTCAAGTCCACCTCCACTGTCTTCTGCATATTTAATAGGCGATAGGTTATCATCTGACAGAAGTCCTTGTATACTTTGGTTGGACACTAGTAACTAGTGTGATGTGTCTCGTCCTTACTTTGGGGCAAACTGAATTCTATCAGTCAGGTTTGCAATGTGGCCACCATGCCACTAGGTGGTGGATCGCCATTGATTTGATGGTATTAGATGGTTGGAGACAATTGGCAGGAAGCCTTTTTTTCTTTCCTTCACGTTCCTCAGTGAAACATAGGGCTTCAAGCTTGTGGCTTGAAGTTTCTGTAGCAGTGTTTATTTTACAGGATGGGGTTTCTAGCCTCATGCCCATCCTTTCCTCTTCACCAGCATTATTTGTGGCTTAGCGAGGTAAAGGAGTGCGTCTGTGGTCGGGGATCGAACCTCGGACCATGTGCATGGTCGGCGAGTGTCCTAACCGCTATGCCACTGACGCACGGCAGGAAGCCTTGGAAACCACCTAAATTTCGTCCTAGTTGGCACTCACCAGTTACCGAGGCATAGCTATTTGGGCTCGCGATTGACCTCCTTAGGACTGTATTTGACACTTTGTTTGGAAACTAGTGACTAGTGTGATGTGTCTAGTCTGCACCAAAGTAAGGACAAGACTCACACACACACATTACACTAGTTACTTACTAGTATCCAATCAATAATATCCAATACAATCCTAGAGGAGGTCAATCGCGAGCCAGCCCGAATACCTCAATGGTAACGTCCCTGACTGACTACAGGTGGCACTGGGTGACGCGGGTTCGAATCTCCTCAGAAATGATGGTCGCAGATACACCTTGCTGACTGGTGGTGAGTGCCAACTAGCACGAAACCTAGGTGAGGCAAGGCTTCCTGCCCATTGATTGCCTCCAACCATCTAATATCATCAGAAGTCCTTGTATCTTATCCTTTCCAACTGGCCGGTCATCTGATCTTCAGTAACATGGAGAGAAATGTGCAGGTGTTAAATAAAAGTCTGTAGCAGCTTGTTGGACAGTATTTCCAATTAGTATTCTCCTTATTAATATTTTTTCTCTCTCGTTTTATTATCCTATTGTCTCTTCAAAAATTCTTACATCACAGTGCTGCTTTAAATCATAATTCAAACTTGCTTACTGAACATCAACGAAACGCTGATTACATCACTAACAACAACAGCAACAACAACATCAGCGAGAACAATACAAGTCAAATTGAAGATCTAAGTGGATTGTTATCATCTTCATCGTCTCATGCGTTTGTTCCTATTAATCCAATTAGTATTAAACAAGCTTTAATTGCTAGTGCAGATACATTGGATTCAGTACGTGTTTTCGGTACGAATTCGATAAAATGGTTGCAGGAGACAGATCAAAGTAGTATATTTGAACAAGGCGCTGGATTGGTGAATCTTCAATCAGCTTTGGAGGTAATTTTCTTTCCCCAAATAATCGAAAAAATGTGGTTTAACTATCCGTGTGATATCTTCAGATATTTTATAGCAGGCTAATAATCTGAAAGTTGTCTGATATGCTTTGTAGTGGTTACTCTGTGGGCAATGAATTTTAACACAAGACATCTCACATTAGTATTAGACTTCTCTAAGCAACCGATAATTGTTGTGTCGATGTAGATCTGTCATGTTGAATGGTATAATATAGCAAGTAATTTTCGGTGTAAGGAAGGTGAGTCAATCGATCAGGCTGTGAAGCTTCGTCGATTGCGATGTCTAGGACACAACACGTGTTACGCGTGCCAAGCCATCGCCTTTCTTGTTAAACAATATGAGATAAGATAGGATTAGTTTGAAAAGAAGAGATCAATCCATGATATCTTTGACTGGTTACAGGATTTCATCATGAGCTGACATTAGTTAGATAACCATTGGAAAACCTGGGAGTACTGGACAGCTGTTTCGTCAGCCTAGTTTGGGACTCTTCAGCACTATGCACCCACCGGGATTCGAACCCTGGACCTTATGGTTACAAGGCAAGCTCGCATACCATTAAGCCACTGGGACCCGATCCAGTGGCCAGCCCATGAATCCTAACTTCTACCAATTCACGACATAGCGCAACCCCTAGCCAATGTTTTTGGCGAGTATTTGTCCTCACACCCAACCTGCTGCACCCTACTGGTCACGACTTCTCACTAAAACCCCAGGTAACTACCTACCTGAATAGGGCAAGTCGCTAGTGAGCATCTCATTGATATTCAAGTGTTGTTCTCTAACTAATGTCAGCTCATGATGAAAATCATGAAACCTGGAAGTACTGGACAGCTGTTCCGCCAGTCTGGTGTAAGACTCTTCATGAGTACGCACCCACCGGGGTTCATGGGTCATTGGATAGGATCCAATGGTCTACGAGCTCGCTAGCCTTGTAACTAGAAGGTCCTAGGTCCGAACCATGGTGCGTTCTGATGAAGAGTCCTAAACCAGGCCGACGAAACAGCTGTCCAGTATCCCCTGTGGCTGTTTTCCAATGGTTCTCTAACTGAATAATATTTATCTCTTATATTAATTAATTGCCGTTATTTTCATAATTTCGCCTTTCACTTCACAGACTGTACAGCGTATGAAACCTCAAGCTAGTCTTATGCCAAGTTATTTGGATTTAACCCAATGTCCGTATATGTGGCCGTATTGTTCTCAGCCGTTATATGCTACAATGCGTCCTATCATAATTAATGTAAGTTGATTTGGCTTAAGTTTTATTATTATCATAGCTGTCTGTTTTGAAAAAAAACAAACAACTGAGACCCCATTAGATTCTGTCACAAATGACAATGGAGTCTTATAATTCGCCTTGATTATAATGATTCCACACATGTCCAGGGATTCGCGACGGAAAACCCAGCGGCGAAGCCTCTGAAGTGATGACAAGCGTAGGACAATGCTGCCTACTGTTGTCACTGATATGATATCCCTGATTGTAGTAGACTGGATCACATGGCAAACCATAGACAGCGAGAAGACAAGAATACGTTGGACTGGAAAGGAAATTCTAAAAGATAATAACTTCGTTGACGACCTATGTCTAATGTCATACAAACTCGAAGATAGATCTAAAGACAAAAACCAACATGTTGGCAGGAAAGGCAGCGTGTACTCCCCTTGGGCAGCATCGTTTTAACCAGAAGCGATACGGATGAGGATGTCAAAGGCAATCAGGAAGGGAAAAGCAAGAGAGACCCTAAATCCTCTGTGATCGGTGTAATTTTCCGCTCCACTGAACGTAAGGAACAAGATCTGGATCATCGACTCTAGTGTCATGTAAGTGCTTCTATATAGTTCAGAGGCTTAGCGCATTGCGAAAAGCATTTCCAACAAACTGCCTAAAACTTTCATCAGCACCTGCACCCTTCTCTCCATTACTGAAGCTCAGATTGCGAAAGAAGATTGACTACAAGGAACTCTGTCAGTCAGCGAGCATATGAAGAACCTACCGCCCAACAATTCTGCCGGAGGAAATGAAGATGGATCGGACACTCACTAAAGAGACCGTTGAGTGACATCACACATCCTTCAAGGTATCGAGTGAAACCAGAATGGGAAACGACAAGTCGGGTCACTCAGTTCTCTCTCTCTCCCTATCTCGTGTTACATCTTACAAATTGGTGAGTTATATATTCCACCCTAATCTCTGCGTCATTAAAAACCCTACATAGGGTTTCATATGTTCCCTTCTGAAATTACTTTTATTAAGTTTGATTGTGTGGACTTCTTAATGAATTTTATGGGATGGTTAATCATCACGAATGCTTTTTCTATCCGTTTCATTTCATGATAGATGAAATGTTTTTACGAGTTGATCACGGATTGCTATCAGTTAGAGAACCATTGAAAACCACCACTGGAGTACTGGACAGCTGTTTAGTCAGCCTAGTTTGGGAATTATCGGCAGTACGCACCCACACCACGGGGTTCGAACCCAGGACTTTCCGGTTACAAGGCAAGCTCATATACCATTCAGCCACTGGGACGCGATTCAATGGCTCATGAATTCTGACTTCAAACAATTCGTGCATAAGGCGACACCAACAAAACTAACCCTTACAAACCAAACTATAGAAAATTAATCTGATGCTCGCTAGTGACTTGCTACAGGATGGAGTTTCCTGGAGTGAGTTCTAGTGAGAAGTCGTGACCAGTGAGGTCCATCCAGATGTCACGTGTGAGGATGGATATCTCACCTACGACAATGGCTGGGGTCGCGCTAAATCACGAATTGGTAGAAGTTAGAGTTCATGGGATGGCCATTGAATTTGGTCCCAGTGGCTGAATGGCACACTAGCTTGCCTTGTAGCCGGAAGGTCCTGGGTTCGAACCCCACTGTGGTGTTGGTGCGTACTGCCGATGATTCCCAAACTAGGCTGGTGAAACAGCTGTCCCGTACTCCCTGGTGGTGGTGGTTCTCAATGGTTCTCTAACTGATAGCAATCCGTGATCAACTCGTATAAACATAACTAACCCTTACAAACCAAACTATAGAAAATAGATGAAATGACCTATAGTCTAAGTATCTTAATAGACTGTGACAGCTTTTAAAACTAATGTGTGTTTTATGTGTATAGTGTCAAACTGCTCAAATTCTCCTCTTCTATTGAATAATTGTTGACTATTGCTTGATGGAAGCAAAACAGCCTGGTAGCTGAATGGTAGTCATCATCACAGAACACGTCTTCAATTTTTAAAAACATTCAATTTTGATTATCCCGTTGATTAATAAATTGGGCAGAAATGTTCAGCCTCCAGTTGACACGTCGGTTCCTAGTGCAGCCGTTTCAAAGATCTCTGGGGATTATTATTAATATTATTATTGTTCCCTTGGGTTCCTAGTGGAACATAGGGCTTCAACTACACGTCTCCACTTGCTTCTGTCTTCTGCTGTACTTTTCACCTGCATCCAAGTTAGTCCATACTGTTTCAGCTCCTCTTCACACGATCTCTTCCATGTCACCCTTGGACATCCCACTCACCGCTTCCCTTTCGGATGTCACCCAGCGGCCTCTTCAGCGAGTGTCCAATCCATCTCCACTTTCTCCTGCATATTTGTCGGGCGATCGGTTCTTGTTTTGTTTGTTCCCATAGTTTCTTAATGGTGATTCTTTCCGGCCATCTGATCTTGAGTATGGAGTGAAGACAGCTGTTGTTGATGAAGGTCTGCAACAGGCTGTTGGAAATATTCTTTGTGACTCGCCAAGTTTCTGATCCGTATAGAAAAACTGACTTGACGTTTGTATTGAAAATCCGAATTTTGTTGATGCTGAGTGACGAAGACTTCCACATTGGTTTCAGGTTGTCTCTGGGGATTAACTTGAAGTAATCTGGAGAATAGTGACTAGCAGTGAAATCGAAGCCTTATACATTTCGTCTTTTTTGGGACTCGTCAACCGGAACTGAAATACCCGAAATGTTTGAGTGTGATTATGATTAAAGAATTGTGCTCAAAATATAATCCGTAAATAAATAATACTACTGTAGTGGTAGAAAGGCAAGAGACTTGGTAAAGGAATGATCTATTTGGAATTCGGTATCTCTATATAGCGAAATCACGTACACCTTAACTTCAAATTAACATTTGCACAGAAATTCTGTATTGTGCCTGCTACTGCTTGCCTTCCTTCATATTGTGTTTTTCGTTATCTTCCTTTTCACGTCTCCCATGTTTCTCCACAACGCTGAATCATTTGCTTTCTCTGAAGTCAAATCTATCTCCCTATTATTTGATATTTTGATGCCGATGAACGTCTCGTTATATACTACTGATCAGTGTTATCAGTAGCACATGCCACACTACTACTATGTGCTCTATCAAATAAAATTATTCTATTGTAAGACAAGGCTGGCTGCCTATTAGCACCGATGATATTCTCAATTGTGGTGGACTGGATTATGCGTCAGACTATGAGGTGGGAGTGAGGAGACAGGAATACGTTGGATTACCAGTAAGAGGAGTCTAGAAGATCTGGATTTCGCATGTGCACGATTTTTGTTTAGTGTTACACAAACTCGAAGAATTACAGGCAGGCGAAAACCAACAAACTGCTTGAAGAGGCTAGTAGCGAAGATAGGACTGCAGGTGAACATAGAGAAAACGGAGGTGATGAAGATAACCAACCAAGAGCAAAAAGAATAACCAGCACCAATCACCATCAACGGGAGGGATTTGACAGAGGTTACTTCCTTCGCTTATCTAGAAAGCGTCGTTTCAACTACAGACGGGGAACGGATGAAGATGCCAAGGCCAGCCTGAATCGGAATGGCGAGATACGCCTTCATCACTTTGAAATCAGTTTGGAAATCTTCTGCACTGACTCAGCCAGCATAAAGAATAAGATTCGGATTTTCAAGTCGGTCCTTCTATACGGATAGGAAACTTGACCAGCGCGATACAAAAAGCATTCCCAATAGCCAGTTGCAGACTTTTATCAACAACTGCCTTCGTTGCCTCTATAATGAAGACGCTGTCAGGCAACGAACCAACTAAGAGCCGATTGCTCAACAAATATGTAGCAGAAAATGGAGATGGATTGATTGGGCATACGTTGAGGAGGCCATCGAATGACATCGCGTGCAATGCAGACCATTGCTCGAGTGGAATCCCAATGGGAAGCGACGAGTGAGTCGTCAATGAAAGGGCGACTTGGAGGAGATCGTGTGGGGAGGAGGAGATGAGAGTTTAGAGTCAATCGTGGACCCAGCTGAAGAGGATGGCAGAAAATGGAAGAAAGTGTTGTTGAAGCCTTACGTTCCACTCGGAAACCAAGGGAATAATAGAAATAATAATTGTAAAATAGTTAACAAAAGTACTCTGATGGCTAGTGACCGACTGACTGACTGAGTGAGTGAGTTTCAACATAGAACTTTGCACAGAGGTACACCACCTCAATTTGCCACATTTTATTGAGCACACAAAGGTAGACAGAAGCGAGAGAGAAAAAAGCGATTATAAAGTATTTTAATAAGCACAAATGTGATGGAGAAAGAATATTTTGATTGAGCACTAGTAACTAGTGTAATGTGTGTGTCTAGTCCTTACTCTGGTGCAGACTTAATTCTATCAGTCAGGTTTACAATGTAGCCACCATGCCACTAGGTGGTGGCTCGCCATCATGGTGATGGTTGGAGGCAATCGACAGGAAGCCTTGGACACCACCTAGATTTCGTGCTAGTTGGCACTCACCAGTCAGCGAGGCGTATCTGCAACCAGCTTGAAGGAACTCATGTCGCTTCTGAATATTCTGAAAGAATATTTACATGGAAAACACATCAGTGTTCAATTGATACGGGAGGAGATAAGAATGAGAGAATTCATCTGCACCATTGAGGGCGATTTCTAGGCGTATTATCACCAACAGTCTCCAGCCATTGATCCTCCCAACATCCTGAGGACTCCGATCAGACAGTCTACACCGCGCTACGTGGCTCAAACTAACTAACTGTCAAGGACTTCATTGACTTGATCCTCTCTAAGTCTTATCCATCCTAATCTTATATTGAGGAGGAGGAGGATGGCTCGGCATGATCGATATATATCCTAGCCATCTGAATCGATGAAGCCTCACAGCCTCATCGATTGACTTACCCTCATAATCTAACACCCTACGCCTAGCTTGAATATAACTCACCAATTTGCACGATGTAACACGAGAGGGAGACAGGAAGAGAGGGTTCAAACACCTAGTAGTGGCGGAATCTACGGGGAGTATTATTTTAAATTATTTTATTCCTTCACGTTCCCAGTGGGGCATAGGGCTTCAATCTGGAGCTTTGAAGTTTCGGTAGCAGACGTGTTTCTTTTACGGGGTGGGATTGCTGGCCTCATGTATGCCCAGCCTTCCCTCTCTACCGTTCTTATAACCGGCTTAGTGAGGTTTGGGAGTGCGTCGGTGGCCGGGGATCAAACTCCGGACCACATGAGGCGTGTTTGGTGAACATTCTACCTCTTAACCACCGCCGCATCTATGTTGATTACGTGGTTCTTTTTCAATTCTTCAGTTAATTTTTCTCTTCTGTGATCTTAATGCCTTCATCTTATTCTTTTGTTAAGGTAACAATTTTCAACTCGATGCATGTGATTGGTCGTATCCACCAGAGGCCTGTTTACCATCCATTTATTAAACGTAATGGACATCGTCTACATGTCGGTGTATCGTATTCATCTTATCTTTGGCCATGGGTTGGATATTTAGCTGTTCATCTAAGCGTAGCATCTGATTCACCTAATAATGATGATACTATACCCAATTCGCGTTTCTCTGGAATAGCTGAGGGGTATATCAGTCTTGTTGTAGAGTCCTATGATAATGTAAGTATTAAACTATATATATATATATATATATATATATATATATATATATATATATATATATATATTACGATTGTTTTATAATTATTATTAAAATACTCAAATCGATTCGAGTTATGTAGGTTCTATTGTGATGGTGTGATGCAGAAAATGCGTGCCAACGGAATGTTGTTCTCACATATTCCCACAGTTCAGTTCTGCATTAGCAACAGAATACTATATGTCTGTTTGAACATTCTATTTCACGTCATTTAATGTAAACCAAAATCATACGTTCAGTGATTGGTTAACCAATATAATCATAAGTAAATACACAGTTTTTGTTCAGCGAAGAAATTTCTTTCCAACGACTTCATTTTCAAGCTGTACAGTCGTATTTATATTACAGAAAAAGTTAATAAGTGGCACTAAATAATCGCACAGTCAATATACATATATGTGATAAGAATAACGATAATTAAAATGTTATAAGGGGTAGAGTTGAAGTGGATAAATAACAAAATTATCAAAGATTGTTTTATAAGTGAATTGAAATCAAAAATGTTTTAAAAATGTCAAGTGTTGTCTAAAAATTTTAAAAAATAAGAGTACGATTACGATAAGAATAAAGATGTGAAGTGAAGTGGAATGAATTCTTTCCACCCCTTATAACATTTTAATAATCGTTATTCTTATCACATATATGTATATTGACTGAGCAATTATTTAGTGCCATTTAATGACCTTTTCTGTAATATAAATACGACTGTACAGCTTGAAAATGAAGTCGTTGAAAAGAAATTTCTTCGCTGAACGAAAACTGTTTTTACTTATGAATAAATGGGTATTTTTCGTAACCAATATAAGACTGTATCTGTAAATAAACAGCGGCTTGCGCACTTGAAAATATACCTTGACTTTCGTCTCTTGCATTCCGTTGTTACATTCGGTGTCGTTGCTTGCCGACAGATGAACAGCCTATGCCCTGCAGCTTTTGAAGAAGGAGACATATGAATCTTCGAGGCTGTCATGCAGTTGAGTGGCGTTCAAGATCCGTCAGCGATAAGGCTGTTATTTTGAACGCTGCTGAGAGGTCAGGTGAAGGCAGCATATGATAGTGTGAGGCGGAACATCGGCGAATACACACGAGGGTCATGCAAACTGCTCCCAAATTGAGAAGGACTATACACGATCACCGTGAGACGGGGTCACGTATATACGATCAGAAATGTAAACAAAGAGAAGCGGGTGAACGTCAGCGAGCTCCAGAACTGGATACAGCAAGACAAGCTAACAAAGCCGCCAGCATCAAGAAGATCGAACCGACTTCAGTCGAAAGTGTTTGTTGGAGGGAGGGACAAGTGTGGTGTTGGTGTGATACAGACAATGTGTTCCAACGGAATATTATTCTCGCATATTCCCACAGTTCAATTGGGCATTAGCAACAGAATACAATAAATATATCTATTTGAACATTCTATTTCATGTCGTTTGATGTAAACCGAAATTACGCGCTCGGTGATTGATTGGTTAACGAATATAAACTGTAGATATATTAACAGCGGTTTAATTAGTGAAAAATATACCTTGGCTTCCGTGTCTTGCCTTCTGCTGTTACACTATGTCATAGTGGGTGTCAAATGGGGGGGGGGGTATTAGTGAAAAGAACAAACCAAGTAATTTAGGGAAGAGCTTCTTTTCAGTGATTTCAGTTTCCTCTTTAGTTGTATAATCTCATTTCTATGCAATTCCTTCCACAAAAGAGATGAAGCGTTATACTCACAGTTGCTGATATTATTCAGTACATATTAGGAGTTGAATAAGGGTGATAGAGTTACGTAATAAGATAAATAGGTTCATTTAATGAGAGTGAATGTGATATTGCGTTGAAGTCCGAAGGAATAGAGCAGTTAGGAAAAGTGGGGAAAAAAAGAAACTGAACACCTATTGATTGAAGCTGACAGGGTCTTTACCATTACAGAAGAATTCTCTTTTGAATGCGGAGCTCTGGTTTCTCTGTCTAAGTGGGTAGAACTTCAAAAATGCATTGGTGAAAGCCTGCTGGATTTGACAGCCTACTCTTCACCTTGTAGATCATATTGAAAAAGGAACTAGTTGAGATAGAATGGTCAGTATTGGCGAATTTTTCAATCATTGTTCTCCTTATAGAACTGCTGTCGCCTTTCTGCAAGTATACCAGGTGGTGTTCCTCAACCATTTCAGATAGGTTACGCGTTAAACAACCGTCATTATAATCAAGTATTGGTTTGCAGGGATTTGATTGATTGGTTACAGGATTTCATCATGAATTGACATCGGTTAAAGGATCATTGGAAAACCATCTGAGAGTACTGGACAGCTGTTTCGTCAGCCTGGTTTGGGACTCTTCGTCAGCACGCACACACTGGGGTTCGAACCAAGGTTTTCCAGCAGTCCTCTAACCGATGTCAGTCAATGATGATCAAATCCCAATCTGATGCTCACTAGTGACTGGCCCTATTCAGGTAAGTAGTTACCTGGGTTCTAGTGGGAAATCATGAGCAGTGGGGTACAGCAGGTCAGGAGTGAGGAAGAATACTCGCCACCTATGACATTGGCTAGTGTCAGTCACGCTATGTCGTGAATTGGCAGAAGTTGGAATTCATGGGTTGGTCATTGGATAGGGTCTCAGTGGCTTAATGGCCTACGAGCTAGCTCGCTAGCCTTGTAACCAGAAGGTCCTGGGCTAGAACCCCGTGGTGTGGGTGGGTACTGCTGAAGAGTCCTAAACTAGGCTGACGAAAAAGCTGTCCAGTACTCCTTGGTGGTTTCCCAGTGGTTCTCTAACTGATGTCAGCTCATGATGAAATCCTGTAACCGCCCGTTATGACACTTTGCACTACACGAACAGGTGAACTAATCATATGCAAATAAAAGCGGTCCCATGTCTTGACGATGTCTTCCAACCATCTGGAGACCACAACTGTGTAGAGAATGTTTTTATTTATTTTTGTTAAAGATATCACAGGTTGGGTCACTCAAAAAAATCAAAATTTCTACAATCTACTTATTTACTGTTACTTAGAGTAATTCCAGTTTTTAAGTTTGTTTAAAAATCAATAGAAAAATTTGAATACAGGCTTCAAAATCTCGACTGATTAGAAAAGCACAAACAGATGATCTTTCTAAATTCAAATTGACAATCATGCTTAGACTTGTGTGATTTTCGTTCGCTTTAATCTCTCTTATTTGAGCCACATAGTCAGAAGGTGTATAGACTATCTATCATCTGGTTGTGGCCGCCGAAATGCGAAGAATCAATGTCTGGAAACTGTTGATGATAAACTTTTTACATTATCGCAAATGCATTCTCTCTATTCATTTGACTGCATTTATTTTTATACTCTTTTCAGATACGAAATCAATCGATGAGTACATATCTTCAACTGCCTATCAAAGCAAATATTGTACCTGTTCCGGATAGATCGTAAGTTTCGTTTACCGATTGATTATAAAGTACATGGCATGTTTATTTATGCTTTGAAAGTTTGTGTAAGATTGTTTTGTCGAAATTATCATTTCTGATGGGTGTTGAGTTTAGGTGGGTGTTAGTGGGAACAATGATACTCCCTGTAGAGTCATGCACATTCATCCGACGTATCTTAAGTGGGACAAGTTAACATGTAATATGAAGAATGCTGTAAGTACGAGGACTTATTTATTATTATTAGCATTATTGTTTCCTGTAGTTCCTAGAGGAACATAGGGCTTCAGCCGCACGTCTCCATTGCGTTCGATTCTCCGCCAACGTTTTCACCTGGCTGCAGGTCTGAACACATGCTCCTCTTCGCGTCAGCTCCTCCATGTCACCCTTGCACTGACGACCAGCTCGCCACATCACATTTGGGTTCCACTCGAGGGCCTGTCTTGTGATGTCACTTGATGACTTTCCCAGAGTATGTCCAATCCACCTCCATTTCTTCCTGCTTATTTGTTGTACAGTCGGTTCCTGCTAGATTGGTTCGCTCGTTGTCAGAGATCCCTGCTGCTGATCTTTTCTGGCCGGCCATCTGATCTTGAGTATTTAGCGAAGACAGCTAGCTGTTGATGAAAGTTTGTAGTTTTTTTCGAAGTGCTCTTCATGAAGCCCCACGTCTCTGATCCGTATAGTAGCACTGACTTCACATTGGAGTTGGAAAGCAGGAACTTATTTTTCCTGCTGAGTGATGAGTGTTGACCTCCAAACAAATTTCAGAGAAATGAAATCTTGTCTTACTTCCTCGATCCTCGCTTTGATAACCTCATCAGTTCCGTCCGCCTGAAGTTGAAACGATGCTTCCCAGATAGGAAGGTGAATGGTTACCAAACTCTCCTTGTAACCTAAAGCTCTGGTTTTCGATCCTTGATGGAGTCATGGTTGAATACTGATAAATAGTCACAAAACGGGACGAAACAGCTATCCAGTACTCCATGGTGGTTTTCAATGGTTCTCTAACTGAATTAAGTTCTTTTGTTATCAAACTTGGCATCTATCGAATCCTTGGAAACCAATTCTTGAAAGTTATTTATAATTTTGATTAGATCCAGGTGCAATGATTCCACTTTTTCATTCTTCTTTCGTCACTTTTGATCCTACAGTCTTGCGATACCTGGTCTCTCTACTTAGTGTACAATATTTCATTCTGTTCTTTGCTTCACGGATGCGAAGCCTGTCAGTGAACAATAAGAGATTTAATGATGTCAGGGTTTTACGGGAATTGTTTGGTCTCTGTTGACATGTGCACTCTTAGCTACGGCCGCTCAAGCAATGAATATATAATACTCGTTGCACAGGAGGTGCTCCTCGTGGCCTAATTGGCCTGGGGGATAACTCTTTGGCGTTTGAAGTGATGCATAGTGAGTTCGAGTCTCATTGGGAAAGCCATCACTCACTCACTGGTGATTGATTTTGCGGACATATCCAGCTACTGAGTCCCAAATGCAAATCCTGGACTCCACCGCTAGTCTCCATCCACCAAGTTACACAAAAGTTAGACATCATTTATTGCAGATCCCTTAATAACATCGATGGGATATAGTCTAGTGTAGTACCGTATAGTAATTGTGGTATTTAGGTTGCATGTTAGGCATTCAACAGAAGAATGAGTTTTCATAAATATTCGTTAACTATTTATGTGGCTTGTATAAAGTATTGTAGGTTGTCTAACTGTAGTTCCATTGGATTAAGATTTGAAACTGTTGTTGATACAGCTTAAAGTCTGTCATAATAACAATGTACTAGTATTGGTTTATAGGGATTTGATTGATTGGTTACAGGATTTCATCATGAACCGACAACAGTTAGAGAATTACTGGAAAACAGCCACAGGGAGTACTGAACTGCTGTTTCGTCAGCCTGGTTTGGGACTCTTCAGCAGTACGCACCCACTGGGGTTTGAACCCAGAACCTCCTGGTCACAAGGCCAGCTCGTAAACCATTAAGCCACTGGTCCCCGATCCGATGGCCCATGAATTATAACATCTCTCAATTCGTGACATAGCGCAACGGCTAGCCAATGTATACGGCGACTTCCCACTAGATCCCCAGGGAAGTCGTGACCAGTAGGCTGCAGCAGGTTGAAGGTGAGTTAGTAACTCATGGAAGAAGACAATGCGAAGTGGTCGAGCTTGTCATGAATTGACAGATGTTATAGTTCATGAGCCATTGGATCAGGTCCCAGTGGCTTAATGGTCTATGAGCTGGTCTTGTGACCAGGAGGTTCTGGGTTCAAACCCCAGTGGGTGCGTACTGCTGAAGAGTCCCAAAGTAGAGCGAAACGGCCGTCCAGTACTCTCTGCAGGTTTACCAATGATTCTCTAACCGATTTCAGTTCATGATGAAATCCTGTAACTAAATAATAACTATGTATTCATCGCCTTTTCTATAAACGTTTTGCCTGTATCTACTACTTATTTCCTGGCAATTTTTAAAGTATGGCGGAATTAAGCCATCCCACTTCGTGTTTGTGGTTCCTTCTTCATCTATTTTACTGGGTTTTATTCATTCTTCAATAAAGAGTATTTAGGAGATTTAGAGACGTCTGAGGTGCTGTTATATACAAACGTAAGTTTTCATTCTGCAACTGCAGAAGTAGTTGTTCATTTGATACCAGAAACATATAAAAAAGGCAGATTGATCGCCCCGAATGCGAGGTATATTTTGGGGTCAGAAATCTAGACTAATGACAGCTACCTGACTAGCTAGGTGGTTCGCGCATGAACGACCGAACGTGACGTGACGGTGTGGCAAACGGAACAGATGACGAGCCCCAAACAGGACGAAATGCGCATCCTGGATTCCACTGCCAGTCACCATCCACCAATTAGATTACATTATTGTTCATCAAAACACAAGCATGGTACATTATGTTTATCAAAAGATGTGCCACACAAAATCTCTTGGTTTGTTCGAGAGTTGGCATACTGCCTGGACTCCCATACTCGAGCATTTGACTTAACGTCTAATCCACAAGTCAGTAGGACAGTTTCAGGAAGTGCGTTGCCATGTGTTTCAGTGACCAAAACACGCTCTTACGACACACAGTCCTTTCACATTCTTGAGCACATGTATGTGGCAGGTTTGGTATCAGGATTTTTCATCCCTCCTAGGTAGGCAGACCAACGTGTCCAGTCTGATTTTAGTAGCCAAATGTTCGGATTCCCTCCCCCTTCGATCATGTCAGAAACGCCCCGGCCGCCACCTGAAGGCATTGAATAGGACTTACCTGAAAGAGGCTGTAAACACGTGACCACACGGGGGGCGTTTTGAAAGGAAAACTGAAGTCTACCCATCCTCGGCTATACCAAATTTTTCAGGTTACGAGGCGAGCTCGTTAACCCCATTCAGCCATCGTGGTATAGATGGCGTGGATTCTTAGTTGCATACTTTTCGCCTTAAAAATTTGACTTAAATAGCGAAGTTAGACGCTCAATGGTGAATGAACAGTGCTGTAGATTATTAATTTTGCGGAATTGTTTCCTCCTCCAGGTTTCCGGAGCATGTGTTCTTGTCAAATGAGAAAATTCAATATTTTTCTATTATTGATTTTGGCAAATATTTCTTTTTTAAATACATAGTTTAGGTTTACGTCCATGTATAGTTAGGGCGTTGACGATATATGAGTGGAGTAGACGTACACTTATAAACTGACTAAACTTGACCGTGTAGAAATAACTTTCATGGATAAATTCTATACGGCTGAATGACTTGACAGATGAAAGACTTTGTCACCAATTCAAACCCAACAGGGTAGTGTTCAGCTACACACTTTCGCGGAAACCATGCCTACAACGTTCAGTGTGTAATCAGCTCCACGTAATGTATCGCCGAAACTCTAAAGAGCTATACATATATTCAAAAACGTTTTGTTAAACCCCTTTCTTTTTACCTTAGTCATAGTAATGTTCTTTTCTTTTCTACATATACATATATTTCTTTATCTAGGAAACGTATTCTCTTCGATCAATTTCATAGTATACACTATCCATCAGGATTTATCCCTCGTGATGATTTGACACGGTCTAAGGAACCACTTGATTGGTGAGTCATCATTATTTTCTCTCATATCAATGTTTTATCTTTCCGCCTTGTGTTCATTTTCATGGAATTAGATCAAAACAGACTGCAGGATAAAATGAATCCATTGTGTGCTTCGTTAATGCATCTCTTGTCGGTTGTATATACAACCTACACAGTGAAACTTAATAGTAAACAACCCTGTACATTGGGTATGATGTTGATGGTACACCTTCGCATTGTTTGCGAAGATTTTTATCTCATGCTTTCCATTCATTACAAAACAATCAGTTCACAATGGAATATGAAGTAGGGAACGAAAATTTCTGAAATTTGTGGGGATTTCGACTGATTCCATTTGTTAGATTTCTTTATGAGTGTGCGCACTACTGTAGAGTCCCAAAATATGAATGGTTGTCTGCCTGTCTGTTTTGACATAGAACTTTGCATCGATGTGCGGCAGTTCAAGTCGTCACACTCCCTCCGTGTAGCACACAAAGGAAGAGAAGAAAGTAGAAGAAATGCATAATATGGACAGTAAACAGAGGTGTGAGACAAAGGAATAGTAATAACGAAGAACAAAACAGTTTCATTGGGTGTTATAAGTCACAAGGAGTGGATACATCTGCACCAGCCATTCAGAACGATTTTGAGCCATGTCACCAATTGTTTCCAACTACTGGTTTTTACCTTCCCGAGGACCCCAACCAGGAAGTCTGCACCTATCTACGTGGCTTAAACTAACTGTTGTAGATTTCATTGACTGGTGCCATGTTTTCGTTTGACCGCCGCTAGCTGTTTTCCAGTCTGACCCTATGTCTGCTAAGATTGTCCCCATTGTCCAGGAAGGCGATGACTAGGCATACGTAACACATGTTCTAACCATCTCAGTCGATGTAATTTCACAGCCTCGTCGATTGATTTCTCCCCCTTACCTAGCACTCGACCGATGCCTAACCTCAATATTGCTCACCTTATCATACCACTTCACGCGGGAGATAGAACGCAGGCACCTATGATCAAAGACAGTTAGCCGGTCTTTTCATGTCTTCCACTCTCAATGGCCAGGTCTCACAGCCATAAAGGAGGACGGAGCGGACTGATGAGCAGTACACCCTTTGGTCGATAGTCGGATATCACGTCTACGCCAGAGACGGTGTAATTTGGCATATGCGAAACTAGCCCTCTGTATTCGTGCTGAGATTTCGTCTGAGGTCAACCCGTTGGGACCGGCTGATGGTACTTCCCAAATAAGTGAAGCAGTTAACGTGCTCTACCACTTCACTTCCTATTTCTAAACTAGGAATCAGTGTAGTCCAGTCCTGTAACATCATCTTACATTTGGCGGGAGCGAATCGCATGCCAAACATTCAACCATGAATGGTTGAATGTTCTACAAGCTTGGTCTCGTAACTCGAAGGGCCTGGGTTCGACCACTTGTGGGGTTGGTTGGTGTGTGTTTGTCCTGAAAATCCCCAAACTAGGATAAACACCTATCCAGTACTCTCTGGTTTTACAGTGGTTCTCTAAATGGTGTCAACTCTATATCAGACCAATGAAATGGACAAAGGATCCGTTTTTTATCCTGCACTATATGTTATTTCAGGATTTCATCATAAACTGACATCGGTTACAGAACCATTGGAAAACCATCTGAAAGTACTGGACAGCCGTTTCGTCTTCGTCTGGCACTCTTCATCAGTACGTACCCGCTGAGGTTTGAACGCAGGACCTTCTGGTTACAAGGCTAGAGAGCTCGTGGACCATTAAGCCATTGGGACCCGTTCTAATGGTCTATGAATTCCAACTTCTACCGATTCATGATATGGCGCGACTGACACTAGCCAATGTCATCAGAGGCGGTTATTTTTTCTCACACCTGACCTGTTGTACCCCACTGATCACGACTTCTCACTAGAACCCAGGTAACCACTTACCTGGTGAGCATCAGATTTGTATTCAAGTGTTGGTTTCCAGCAGGGATTTGATTTAATTGGTTACAGGATTTCATTATGAGCTGACATTGGTTAGAGGACCATTGGAAAACCTCGGTTCAAGCCTCAGTGTGTACGTACTGTGCTGGTTTTTTATTGGTCATCTAACTAATGTCAGCTCATGATGAAATCCTGTAACCAATCAAATCCCTACAAAACCAACACTTGAATCTCAATGAGATGCTCACTAGCGACTTGCCCTATTCAGGTAGGTAGTTACCTGGGGTTCTAGTGAGAAGTCGTGACCAGTAAAGTGCAGTAGGTCGGGTGTGAGGACAAATACTCGTCGAAGACATTGGCTAGAGGTCGCGCTATGTCGTGAATTGGCAGAAGTTAGAATTCATGGGCCATTGGATCGGATCCCAGTGGCTTAATGGTATACGAGCTCGCTAGTCTTGTAACCAGAAGGTCCAGGGTTCGAATCCCGGTGGGTGCGTTGTGCTGAAGAGTCCCAAAATAGGCTGACGAAACAGCTGTCCAGTACTTCCAGGTTTTCCAATGGTTCTCTAACCAATATCAGCTCATGATGAAATCCTCTGACTATATGTTATTGTTATTGCTTTGTTCAAATTCATTAAGGCGAGAATTCGTGTATAAAAATCCCATGAAATCACTGAAAGATGGTTGTTATTCACATCATTATGTGCACACCTGTTTCATTTTATCAAAGAAAGTTAATATCGTTATGAATTCATTATTTTTCACTTCACTGTGTCATTTTCTTTTGTACAAGATTATTTGCAGTAGTTTATTCACCTGCTGTAATGATGCTTGTTATGTGTGCGACGTTTTTGCGCATTGTGTTTTTTGTCTGTGTTTCCATGAGAGTGTGTGTGTGTATGTGTAAGTGTGCAAAAGGCTATGCCATTACTTTAGAATCTCTTTTTTACTATTTCGCATGTTCAGTGAATAAAAAGGCATTGCTCATTATATGTAAAAGTTTTTGTATTTCCCAATGAATGAAAAACATAACGATATTGTTGTGTGTTTACTGACGTCTCGCTATTTAATGCTGCTGCTAATAGCTTTATCAAAGTAGTAATATTAAACCAGAATTTACAAAATCCACTCAACTTATATATAACAACTTAATCATCATCGTTCCTCAATATGGGGGTCATTTTTTGCGTTGTCAAGTTGGCCAATTGGTAAAGATAACACAACCAACCAGGTGTAGATTGTTGGATTTGATAAGTGTATAAAATTATAAAAGCAGCGTGTGTGTTTACATAATGAAATTGCTTATCACATTCGTGTTGATTCTGTCATTTCATGAGGGAGGGTGTGGTGTGTTGTAACCAGATCAAATTCTGTTTTAGTCCATCATTCCTATTCAGACAATTTGGATTCCATTTGATGTCATGAAGTGCTCCTAATGACATTAAATGTTCTTTGTGATTTCTGAAATGCTTTTTCTGGATTATTTCAATATTGTCAAAGTCAATTTTGTTACCTGATTCTATAGTTTGTAGACGACCTATGGCTGATGACTTTTCAAGCTTTTCTATTTCAACTGAACTTGTCGGTGTTCATCTCTTCTGATTTTGATTTCCTTCTGGCGATGTTTGTCCGATGTATATCGTCGCATCACACTCCAAGCATTTTATTTTGCAGACACAATTAGATAGAGAATCTTTAGGGATTTGGTCTTTTATATGGACGGCAAGGTTGTTTCGCAGTGTGTCTGATGTTTTGAAGAAAACTGTGGTGTTGTGCTTATTGAGCACTCTTCTGATATCGTCTGACGAATCTGATGGTCTATATGAAATGACAACTGTTGAGGCCCATGTTTTTATTATTGGTTGTTGTTGGTTGTTTGAATATAAAATCAGTCTGAAAACGCCATGTTATTAATAAACAGTAATAGGTGAATAGTAAAATATGGATGATGGCCACGTTCTTACTATAACTTTGCTTCTTCTTTTTATTATGTAAGTTTACTATTATTATTGTTGTTATTTGGAGACAGTGTTTTTAGAAGACGGAGTTTATCTGAAAAAATGTGATGTATTTGCGCTATACATTTACTTTTCAAGTCGACATATATGAAAAAATAGAGCGAACAATTGTGGTTTCAATAAATTCTTCCTTCTTCAGGCTTTACAATTATGAATCCATTAATTTAAGCATGTGCGTCGGTGGTATAGCGGTTGGGACGCTCGCCGACCATGCACATGGTCCGGGGTTCGACCTCCGGCCGACGCACTCCTTTACCGCGCTAAGCCAGAAGTATTGCTGGTGAAGAGGAAAGGTTGGGCATGAGGCTAGCAACCCCATCCTGTAAAATAAACACTGCTACAGAAACTTCAAGCCACTAGCTTGAAGCCCTATGTTCCACTGGGGAACGTGAAGGATAAAAAAAAATTTAAGCATACAATAGTCAACTAATAAAGGCAAATTAGAATCATATTAGAAAGTGTATTGTGGAACAAGTATAAGATGGGATGAGATAATAGTCAGTTAGTTTTTTAATATGCATGGTCAATGAGAACATGAGATAAAATGAGATGAAATAATTTAATGGCAAAAGAGGTCGCTCTCGTGGCCCAAGTGGTCTAGTGGATAACGCTTTGGCGTTGGAAACTATGGGCACTGGGTTCGAGCCTCGGTGGGAACATCGTCACTCACTGGGGAATGCAGATACATCCAGCTAGCAGACGAGTCCCAAATAAGACGAAATACGCGTTTTCCTGGATTCCACTGCTAGTCATCATCCACCAATTAACTTCTAGTGTGTGTATATCTATAAATATAGTCAACAGAAAATACAGGTTTCGAGAGTGTGTGTAATCAGGGTGTCTAGATATAAGTTAAAGGTTGAAAATAACGACAATAAGAATGATTGTAAAATAATAACGATGATATGGTGTAAAATTACAAGCACTATTGGTGAATGATTGTCAAATAATAATAATGAATATAATGAAGTGGAATGAACAGGATTTTGTAAATACGATAACAAATTAAAAATGCACTACTTAAACCTAAGGTAATAAAATCATAAGAAAGGTCATGAAATCATAAAAGTCGAAAATGAACGATTGTCAATGAAACAAAGGAATAGAAGAAAAGAAAAGAAAATTGTGAAAGAAATTTAAAGTGTTAATGGAGGATTTATTGTAGGCCAAGGTAAATATAGAGGTTGAACTTACTTCTTCTGTATACAAAAAGTTGGTTTTCTGGTATTATTGCAACTGCTTCAGCTGCGGAGCTCCTCTAGATAGATTACTAGGAGCGCGGTAAATAACTGTGAACGCCTGGTCAAGTTTTATTGAGTGTCCAATGTCTACCAAGTGGGCTAAGATTGCACTATTTACACATTTGGTTACCCCTTTACTCAACCATACAGGTACATGTTCACGCGCGCGCATGGATAAAGCCCTTTGAGTACGGCCAATGTAACTAGCTCCACATGAGTAGTTGAATTTATAGATACACATTGATTTAAGAATAATTAATACAACGTTTGTTAATCCAATCAAATAAGGCTTACCAAGGTTGGTTAAGAGTAATAACCGTGGTGGGTGCGTACTGATGAAAAGTCTCAGACTAGGACGAAACAGCTGTCCAGTACTGCAGTGCTGGTTTTCCAATGGTTCTCTAACTGATGTCAGCTCATAATGAAATCCTGTTAGTAATAACAAATTGTTTTTGAACACACAGGGCGGGGGAGGGGTTAAGTTTATGAATAGCCTCAGCGTATTTCAATAAACGCCCTCGACCATTTTTATGCATAACTTTAAAGGGTGTATTAACATCAATCTTATGGTTCATCTCGATTAGATGTTTGTCTATAGACGAAGTTGGTTATCATTATTATTCTCATCATCCTTATTTTATTATCACGTTATTACTGTTTAATAATAACACTGAGTTTTCAGACTGATTTTATGTTAAGAAAAACACTTAATCGTCTTTTTTTCACAAGTTCCTGTCGATTCTACACAATCTTATTAATTAGTCATTATGTTACACTTATTTCGTTATACCAACTTCTGCCTCTTTTCTAACTTCTAATCAGTTATCTCTTCTAGACTACATCTCACATTACGTAGTAAATTTTTCGAGGACAAATTTTACTAGTATCTGATTGGTTGTCTTATGAATTCTTTATTAAATATAATTACGATTCTACAGCAGCTTATGAAAATGAATTTGGTAAACAGAAAGATTGAGCGAAGAAATATTTACTTTTCATTTAGATCCTCATCTCTGGCTCTGCTCTAATATATATCCGTAGCATTTTTATTACAATACACAACAATTTATCAATCAAGTGGCACTGATATGTTTGTTAACAATAATTAAACAGTGTCAAAATGTCAATGGGTTGATAATTAACGAAGAAAATCAATACACATTTAGAAGGTATGTGTATCTACCAGTTTGACTGCAGCTGTGGAGCCAGCTACATTGGGCGTACAATTAGGCAGGTTCATCATCGTATTTTCGAACATCATCCATCATGGTTAAGCAAGGGACAAACAAGATCTATTCGTGGTTCTATTTTAGCATACCTTGTAGACAGTGAGCATTAGGTTGATGTTAATACTGCATTTAAAATTATTTATCGCATTCCGACTAATCTTAACTTTGCTCTATGAGTTCGTCTTCTACAGACAGCTGAGGCAATCGGAATCCACCTGAAGAAGTCAAGCCTATGTGTTCAGAAGAAATTTGTACAGCCACTTTCCTTACCGTGGCCATTGTTACAAGAATGCATAAACAGGACTACGTCGCCCCCTCCCTCTAAACATATAAAAATTATAATTGTCCAAATTAATTTATTTTTATTTTAACCACTTCATCTTTAATTAAGTGTTATCCTTGTAAAATTAATTTATTCTATCCATTTCTACCTTGTAATTGTGTGTATTGATTTTCTTCGTTAATTATCAACCCATTGACATTTTGACGCTGTTTAATTATTGTTAACAAACATATCAGTGCCACTTGTTTGGTAAACTGTTGTGTATTGTAATAAAAATGCTATGGATATATATTAGAGTAGAGCCAGATAGAGATGAGGATCTAATTGAAAAGTAAATATTTCTTCGCTCAATCTTTCTGTTTTCTAAATGTCTAAATGGGGATTTTTTTTCTATATTGAAAATGAATTGTCAAAAATGAAAAATGTTCATACATTTGGTTCCCTTGATAAATTTCGATAGAGAAATAAAGACCAGATCTGCTGTATAAAATGATATCATTCTACTTCACAGGTTCTCATCAGCTGCAAACTACCTGAAATTACAATGGTTATAGATAATAACATTTCATAAATTTTCCTTGCTGTTTACTTCTTCTTTTTCTTATGACTCAATATGGAAATTTTCAAAAGTTGGTTTTTAAGGGTTAGATTTGTTTTTACGAGTTTGACCATTGGCAATTGAGTCGGGTCCTAGTGGCTGAATGGTATACGGGCTTGCCTTGTAACCGAAAGGTCCTGGGTTCGAACCCTGGCGGTGGATACGAACTGCCGATGATTCCCAAACTAGGCTGATGAAACAGCTGTCCAGTACTCCCCGGTTGGTTTTCAATGATTCTCTAACTGATATCAATCCGTGGTCAAACTCTTAAAAATTAATATGGGAATATTTCGTTCAATTATTCAGCTACCTTTCTAAGTTAATTTTTTATAATTTTATTTTATAGGTTAGGTGATCATATCCACACAAATTATCTTGATTTGTATACACATTTACGTAAGAGGAATTATTTCATTGAAGTGTTAACTTCTTCATTCGATTGTTTCAATGCTTCAAATTATGGTGAGTTTATTTCTATTTTGTTTTGGCGGCCTGTTTAAAACTTGGGCTACGAAAAACTTCCATCTCTCTCTCTGTGTTGCATATATTTTCTCTCTTTCGGTTTTGTTTTAATCGATTGAGATATGACCTCTAATGGTATTATTATCTACTCTTGTGTGTATTTAAGATGTTTACGAGTTCCTAATTCACAGGTTCCTACTAAACTTGAGGAATGACCGGATTGTGAGTGGCATCGTGTTCCAATACAACATGAGATAACTGTTCTTCAGTTATGTCTTCGGGTCTCAAAATGTACTTCTGAACATCTTACAATTGGCTTTCAACTAGATCGATATCGTGGATGGATTTCTTGAAGGAAGGAGACAAAGCAGATATATCACATAATGGAATGGTTTGTGTTACAGCTCAGAGGCCATTGTGTCACAGGAAGGATGTACTGTCAATTAATATTTTACTTGAAAATATCATACAATAAACTCCTCTAGAAATCCTGTACATCTTATGAATACTGTCCAGAATAAAGATATTATTATTATCGAAAAAAAGAGTAGTTCAGCTATTGATGACTTTTTTGACTGTACTGAAGGATAACTGGCGTATGGAATCAGACAAAATGATCCTGTAGTAGTGTACAGAAGACAAGACTGAGGAGACTGAAAGGAATGTTTATTTGGGTGAAACGTATGGTACATAGCTAAATTTGGAATACCATATTCTAAACCGGCCATTTGCACATCTTTACCACATCCTTGACGAATTGGTCGAATATCGTCTCATTCGATAGCTTCTTGGATTCTGCATCATATGGCAACATTCTTCTCATGGTTCTCTTCTTTGATTGCTCTTTTCGGTGTGCCAAACATGTTGTTACTTCGTTCCTGATATACTACTTATATCGGATTATAAGTAGCACTCACCACAGTAGCAGAAGGCAAGGCACAGAAGCCAACGTTTATTTTCAAGTGATCGAACCGCTATTTATATTCTTTAACCAATCACTGAGAGTGTGATTTTTGTTTACATTAAACGACATGAAATAGACTGTTCAAATACATATATCGTATTCTATTTCCAATGCAGTATTGAACTGTGGGAATAGTATTCCGTTGGAACACATTGTCTGTATTACACCACCACAATATGACTGCCTGACTGACTAACTTCAACATAGAACTTTGCACAGATATGCAGCAGTTCGAGTTGCCACACTCCCTCCTTGTAGCACACAAAGTCAGAGAAGAGTGTGTCTTCGATCATAGGTGTCTGCGTTCTATCTCCCGCGTGTGTTAAGTGGTATAATAAGGTGAGCAATATTCAGGTTAGGTGTCGAGTGCTAGGTAAGGAGGTTGGGGAAATCAATCGACGAAACTGTGAAATTACATAGACTGAGATGGTTAGGACATGCGTTACGTATGCCTAGTCATCGCCTTCATCGACAACGGGCAATGTTAGCTGATATAGGGTCAGTCTGGAAAATAGCTAGCGGCGGTCAAACGAAAACATGGCACCAGTCAATGAAATCCACAATAGTTAGTTTAAGCCAGCCACGTAGGAAGGTGTAGACTTCCTGGTTGGGGTCCTCGGGATGGTAAAAACCAGTGGTTGGAAACAATTGGTGACATGGCTCAAAATCGTTCTCAATGGCTGATGCAGATGCATCCACTCCTTGTGACTTATGATTTCCAATGAAACTATATTGTTCTTCGTTATTACTATTCCTTTGTCTCACACCTCTGTTTACTTTCTATGTTATGCATTTCTTCTACTTTCTTCTCTTGATTTGTGTGCTACATGAAACGAGTGTGGTGACTTGAACTGCCGCACATCGGTGCAAAGTTCTATGTCGAAAACCGACCGACCAAAAGAGAGAGAGATAACAAACAGGAATATGAGGCGAAAAGAATAGTAATGTAGAAGAACAATAGAGTTTTATTGGATATTATAAATCACAAGGAGTGAATGCATCTGTGCCAGCCATTAACAACGATTTTGAGCCATATCATTAATTGTCTCCAGCCTTCATTGGTTCTTACCATCATGAGGACCTCAACCACGAAGCCAGTCTACACCTCCCTACATGGCTGGCTGGCTGGCTTAAACTAACTGTTATGGGTTTCATTGACTGATTAGGCCATGTTTTGGTTTGACCACCACCGGCTAGCTCTTTCCCAACCTGATGTTATGTCAGCGGCTAACATCGCCAACCGACGAAGGAAATGGCTAGGCATGCTTAACACATGTCCTAACCATCTCAATCGATGTGACTTCACAACCTCATCGATTGATTTCCTCTCCTTACCTAGCACTTGACCGATTGCTAACCTCAATATTGCTCACCTTACTATACCACTTAACACGGGATGATAGAACGCAGACATCTATGATCAAAGATAGATAACTAACCTTTTCATGTCTTCCACTTTCAATGGCCAGGTCTCACAGCCAGCTGTAAAGGAGGACGGAGTGAACTGCTAAGCAGTATACTCGCCTTTTGAGAAGTACACCGGCGGTGGATTGAACCCCGAAACACTCGTGGAGTCGTTGGCAAATGTTCTATCTCTGAACTACCACCTACCAACTCACGACTATACTTATAGCATAATTCGTATTTCTTTTGAACTTTTTTCTTTTACATAGGTACATTCCTTTTAATTGATCCAGAAGAGGAATTCTATCCGCATGAAGTGAAAAAATTATTCTCTGATGTTACTCAACATGGTTTATCGTTAATTGTCTTTGCAGATTGGTATAATACCAGTGTTATGCATAGTCTACGATTTTTTGATACAAACACAAGGTAAGCTCAGAGTTGCAGAATGTGAGTGAAGGTGGTATCTCTAATTTTCCTAACAATAATTAATAATTTAGATTTTACGTTCTGTAAGGAGTTAGATTAAGTCATGTCAAAATCTTAAACAGAGGAAACACGAAAAGTGCCAGAGAATTCCTAGAAGCCTGGTACTCAAGCGAAAATGCAATTAACAAACACGTTAATATAGATGAAATATACCAATTAATAAAAAGTAAATCAGGTGACCAAAAAGTTTAAAATCCAAGTCAATAGAAAGTGGTCAATACATATGTAAAGATAGTAACCAGGAGACGCAATTACATCACGCATGAAGAAATTTAAATCATTTCACTTTGTGCTAAATATGGCGCTGAAGATGTTGTCCAGAAAGACGACGAAAGCTTCGCAACTAAACCAACCAGCTCAGAGAACACTTTTAATTGCAAATCATCCACCTGAGCTACAAATCTTCTCTATTAAGTCATGAACTAACTGACATCATGGAGAAGATTTATAGCTCAAGTGGATGATTTGCAATTAGTTGTGTTCTCTGTCTGAGCTGGTTGATGGTTTAATTGCGAGGCTTTTGTCGTCCCCCAATCTAGACAACAACCTCCTTCAGAGCAGGTTTTACTGTAAAATAAACAACTTATTTGAATTCTCCATAAATTATGTAATTGCATCTCCACCACTGTCGTAACTGGTTGTTTATTTTTCGATTGGACACTAGTAACTAGTGTGACGTGTCTAGTCCTTTCTTTTGTGTAGACTGAATTATATCAGTCAGGTTTGCAATGTGGCCACCATTCTAGGTAGCTCGCCATCACGGTGCACATTGATTTGATTATATTAGATAGTTGGAGGCAATCGACAGGAAGCCTTGGACCTAGGTTTCGTGCTAGTTGGCACTCACCAGTCAGCGAGGCGTATCTGCAACCAGCTTGAAGGAACTCATATCCCTTGTGAGTAGATTCGAACCCGCGTCACCCAGTGCTGCAGTCAGAGACGTTACCACTGAGCAATTCGGGCTCGCAATTGACTTCCTGTAGCACTGTAGTAGGTATTTTGATTGGACACTAGTAACTAGTGTGACGTGTCTGGTTGTTTGTTAATTTACGTCTCTATTGATCATACTTTTATTGACTTGGAATGAGAACTTTCTTGTCATGTGATTTGCTTTTTATTACCAGCTGGTAAATTTGGTCTATGGTAATTGGTGTGCTTTTGTTAATCTCAGGGTTCGAGGAATTCCCTGGTAGTATTTTTAGTGTTTCCTCTACTTAAAATTTCGACATTATCCCAATCATCAAATTGATGTCCATAATTATCCACATGCGTTGATATGAAATAATATGTATCATGTCTGTTTACAGACAATTTGTGTTCTTGTATTCTGATTCGAAGAGGACTCCCACTTTGACCGATGTAATGTTTATTTCAGTGCATGGATGCAATTTTACTTTTGTAAATGGTACTGCTAATCTTATCTTGTTTTTTCTGTTGGAACTTTTGGTCTTTATATTAAAACTTGCGCTGAAGGAGAGAGAGAATCATTAGAAACCAAGGAGTATTGGGCATTTGTTTTGTCCTAGTTAGCGAATGTTCATTAGCACACACACACAACCATAACTCCACCGGGGATCGAACATTCAGGATACATGGCGTACTCATTGAGCATTCAACTACTAGGTTGGTATTCAATAACTCAAACTAGTACGAAACAGCTGTCCAATACTGTCTATCTATGTACTCAGTGGTTTACGAGAAATGCACCGACTTGGCATACGATGGTATCACTAAATTAACTGATCTTCCGTGTGTAGTTGGTGAATATTTGCGTGATCCGCGGTTCGATCCCCCCCCCGATACACTCCTGCTAAACCTCACCTAGCCGCCAGTAAGCTAGACAATATTGGAAGGTTCGGTGTGATGCTAGCAACTCCACTCCGTAAAATTAACAACACCACTCTATATGACACTTCAAAGCTCCAGCTTGAAATCCTACTGTTTCACTTGGAACGCAAAACAATTCAAGAAAAGAAAGAATAAGGTGTTAGTCTATAGGCGGCAGGTAAACTTCACTTATTGGTGCTCCTGTGGTTTCTGAAAACGAGACCAGCACCTCTCATTTCTGAAGTAAGATACCAGCAATATGATAAGTATTCACAACTACTGCTTGCGACCTTCAGTAGGTGGTCTGGAGTTATGAAATGACGGGTCAAGAAGTTATTTGGTATAACGGCTGTTGTGTGTGTGTGTGAAATGTTTTTCAGCCTAAGATTAACCAGTTAACCTATAGCGTTGAGCTTCTCTCACTGTGAATAGATTTCGTTAATATGAATGTTTGTTGTTTTTTTTTTGGTATTTCTGTCTCATAGACGTGTATGGAGTCCAGATACTGGAGGGTCTAACTTACCTGGCCTGAATGACTTGCTTGAACCGTTTGGGATCGAGTTGGGGTGAGTGCTTTTTTATTATCATGTGAGAAATATATCAAATGAAGTATAATTATGCTTCAATAGTTTACACACAATGATAAGTTTTGTTCTTGGTAACATTTTGAGCAAAATTACTGCCCGTGTTCACACACCAACTGTTGGAATTGTGCGTCGGTGGCACAGTGGTTAGGACTCTCGCTGACCATGCACATGGTCTGAGGTTCGATCCCCTGCCGACGCACACCCGATATCAATGGTCAGCCTGCAAAATTTGGGCTAGCGATATCACATGCTGAAAATTTCATACTTGTACCGAAATACTGTGTGGAATCAAGCTGTAATCAAAATAAAATAAAAAATAAATAAAAAAATTGTTGCCTTAGCCCCAAGGCTAAGGTATTATTGTTGCTGTCGCTTGTTACCCTTCTTGTTGTGAATTATTTTACCGTACTGGTGCTGTTCTGCTTGTTTTATCCCCTATTTTCCTGCTTTTAAGGGGAGCAACCCACAAGGTCACTTCTCTCTCAATTTTAATTTAATGTAACAATTCCCCTTCCCAGGCGTGAGGCTAGCAACCCCACCCTGTAAACAAACCTGCTACAGCAACTTCAGCACGATGAATCTCCTCGAGGCAAAAGAAAAAGTCTGTATGGGGACATGGAATGTCCGCACCATATACGAGATTGGCAAAGCTGCCGAGATCGCAAACGAAATGAAAAGATACAGAATTCAAGTACTGGGAATATGTGAAAGCAGATGGAACGGGAATGGACTCACCAAATTGTCGACGGGTGAGTCAGTGATCTACTCCGGTCACCCAGAAGATTACCACTCGCACACCAAGGTAAAAAAAGATGATAAAATTTTAAAGTCATCCAATCACACGATAAAGCATAAAATGATTAGTATTTGAACGTATTCCAATCATCCGGATGAGTTCAAATAGAGAAAGATGGGTGATGATCTCGCCTCACTTTCAGAGTTTTTCATGTTTTATATTTGTTTTAATTGTTTATAGTTATTTTTGTTTTGTTTTTCTACAGTGATTCTGTTTTTGCTGGAAATTATGCTATTGGACATCGAACTGGTAAGTTTAGCCTTCATAATAATAATAATAATATTATGTATTCCATATTGACTGTGTATTACAAAATGTAGTAAATTAGGAAAAATGTTGTTCAGAATATCGAAGGTGATAAAAAAGGAGGAACACATCTTCAACATTGTGTGAAGGATTTTGAATGATTCAATTTAGAATCTACATCAGTGGTTGGTTCGTTAATGAAACCATTTTCAATTGTATTTCTCATATAATTCTCAAAAGAATTCATATGACCGTTAATACACTGAGTAGTTGCGCTAACGAATTTCTTATCTAGTTGATTCACGAGCCTATTGTTCTAACCAATATTAGCAATAACAACGACAACACGATACGGTACCACTGGAAACGTGACACAAGAAGAAAAGACAGACTGTTGACGTGGCCAGCTTTTACTGTCTCGCATGATTGACAGCGCTTGCCTATATATGCTTTAAAATGACCATGAGAGACACTAATGACATTGATTAATTGAAACAGCCAACAACCAATAGAATTTCAAGGTCTTAAGTGGGGTGAGCGAAGATTAGGTTTATAGATTAATAAGTGTGTAGGGGGAGAGATGCAAACAGACATGTCAAAGGAATTTAGAAAATTAGGTCTGTATATCAGGAATACAGTTCGTGTCACTTTTCATCTCACTATTTCTGATCAATTTTTACGCTATTCAAAATTCAGTGATTATCACTAAGTCACAAACTTGGTACGCTATAGAAATCAAAAGATTCTTATTTATTATTATTATTCCCTTGAGTTCCGAGTGGAACATAGGGATTCAACAACACTTTCTTCTATTTTCTGCTGTCCTCTTCAGCTGGTGGTCCACGATTGCCTATATTCTTTCATCTACTCCTCCCCACACGATCTCCTCCATGCCACCCTCTCACCGACGACCTACTCATCGCATCCCATTGGGATTTGACACGAGGGCCTAGCTGATTCGTGATGTCATTCGATGGTCTCCTCAATGTGTGCCCGATCAATCCATCTCCATTTTCTCCTACACATTTGTTGAGCAATCGGCTCTAGCTTGTTGGTTTGTTCCCAGCCAAAGTTTCTTGTTACTAATTCTTTCTGAGCCATTTAATCTTCAGTATGGAGCCAGCGAAGGCAGCTGTTGATGAAAGTCTGCAATAGGCTGTTGGAAATCCTTTTCGTGACACGCTGGCCAACTTTCTGACCCGTATAGAAGGAACTACTTGACATTTGTGTTGAAAATCCTAAGCATGTTCTTTATGCTGGCTGACTCAGTGCAAAAGATTCCCAAATTGCTTTCAGGTTGATGAAGGCGTATCTTGCTTTTCCAATTCTGGCTGGCTGGCTGGCTTTGACATCTTCATCCAATCCGATTCTCTGTGGTTGAAACCGTGTTTCCCAGATAATTGAAGGAAGTAACCTCTGTCAAATCTCTCCCGTTGATGGTGATTGGTGCTGGTTGTTGTCGCTGTTCCTGTTGTTGGTTCGCTGGTTATCTTCATCATCTGCGTCTTCTCTATGTTCACCTGCAGTCCTGTCTTCGCTACCAGCCTCTTCAGCCAGTTTGTTGGTTTTCGCCTGTAAGTCTTCGAGTTTGTGTGTGACATCAAAAGATGCACCACACAAAATCTCATAGTTTATTCGAGAGCTGGAATACTGCCCGGACGCCCAGACTAAAACAGGTGGTTGTCTTCAGGTGCCACCTCCCTCGAGGCTTTGACTTGAAGTCTGATTCACAAGGCTCTGTGGAGCAGCGTCGGAAATCAAGTTCCCATAGTAGTTGTCGGTGACTGAAACAGATTGACACACCATTCGGTCCGTTTGGATTCTGAAGCGCAAGTATGTAGTTCAGGGCATTCCAACCCCCTCAGGTAGACCTGATCATCTAAGAGTCCAGTTGTAATTGCCACACGTTCAGATTCGCCCTTTCGCTTCTGCAAAAACACGCCATGAGAGCATTACTAGAAGATAACTGGAGTCTACCCACCTTTAGCCCCATACCAGGTCGTTTATGAGGGGTATTCAAGATTCAATAATGAACTTCTCTTGGTATTAATAATCATTAAAGTATGTCTTTTTTATAGTTTCACTAATGTTCTCAACTACTATATTTTTAATGCTTAATCGAATTTCTTTTTGCTCTTTCTAACATTAATTTCTAGTCTCATATCATTCGGGGACAAGTATTAAACGCTTTCCTGTACAGAACATTTCAAATATTACCGGTCGAGCTGCATTGTTAAAATCTCATCTTGTTGATATAGGCAGTCAATTTATTCAACATAATCGTCAGCGGCGGCAAGATATCTCTGAAAATCCTGGACAATCATCATCATCCTCATTAGAAAATGATAAAATTCTTATAAATTCTGAACCTGTTCTACGTTTAAAACCAATTATTAATGAAGATCCAACCCCAAGTATTTTAGGCTTATGGACACCAATTGCAGATGAAAGCAATACGGCAGGACGTTTAGCTGTTTACGGGGATTCGGATTGTTTAAGTTCAACTCATTTGAGTTCAAGTAGGTGTCTTTATGCTTCTTGATCGGTTATGAATTTTGTAGTCCGTTATTTAAAAGCCAAGTTCATTTTGAATATATTCAGTTAGAGAGAACCATTGAAAACCAGCGAGTAATAAACAGCTGTTTCGTCCTAGTTTTGAGACTGTTAAACAATACGTACCCATTGCCCCACTGAGCATCAATCCTATAAAACCTTCAGGTTACGAGGTAAGCTCGTTAATCTTTTAACCACTGATATCAAATACAATCGCTTGTCAAAAAAAACAGATACTCGCGGGTCTTGATGTTATCTGTTGTGAATCGATAGAGGTGGTAATTCATATTAGAACAAGACAGCATAAACGAACAATATTGCTGTTTTCAATTAGATCTTCTTCAGGCTTTACTCTAATTTACATAGATTTATATATAAAAATTTTTGACCAATGACGGTGATTTTGTGGGTCAAATAATATTAATAATAATTTGGTAAATGTTTCGAACGTAGGTAATAACGATGATAACACAATATTGATAATAAGGTTTATGCAGGTGGCGATAAGAATAACAAAGGTAGTAATATATGTAGACAATTCAATAAATAAATTAGGTGAAATCTTAAAAGTTATGTAATAATAAAGGTGAAGTGGACAGATAATCAGAGTTTAAATAAATATCATAAAAGTACGAAGGAAATGGAAGATAAGAAAGGGTGGGAGGGTTTTGAATAGAATTCACCTAGGCAAAGCAAGGGAGAGACAAAGGTAGAACAAACTTCTTTTGTATGCAAAGACTAGGATTGTTTTCTCGAATTAATTCCCATAGCTTCGGCTATGTGTAAAAGGCGGGTTCGAATTCCGATCGAAAGGCTAGATGGAATGCGATAGATATCTTTGAAGGCACTATTTTTGTCCACTTGGTGACCGTTATCAATCAAATGAGCCAAAATAGAACTTCGTATAGATTTTATTTGACCTTTTCCAAACTATGAAGGAATATGCTCATTAATGCGTTTGTTAAGCTGTCTAGTTGTTCACCCTATATATCTCTCTCCACAGGAGCAACTAAATTTATAGATACACATAGGTGTGGCACAGCTAGGTAGCTTGTCTTTCACTTGAGCAATCATAATTGGTCGGCTCCTTCGTATTTTTGTGTTATTTGTTTAAACTCTGATTATCTGTCCGCTTCACCATTAGTATTACGTAACTTTTAAGATTTCACCTAATTTATTTATTGAATTGTCTACATATACACATATTACTACCTTTGTTATTCTTATCGCCACCTGCATAAACCTTATTATCAATATTTTGTTATCATTATAATCATCGTTACTAACTACGTTCGAAACATTTACCAAATTATTATTATTACTATTATTATTATTATTATCATTATCATTATTATTATTCGATCCACAAACTCATCATCATTAGTTAAAGTTTTTATATATAAATCTATGTAAATTAGAGTAAAGCCTGAAGAAGATCTAATTGAAAACAATATTGTCCACTTATATGTCTTATTCTAATATTAAAAATGATAATTCATATACCATCAGATTTTGTCGTAGTTGTTGAGTAATCAGCGAGCCTTTCTCGTAACTTGAAGGTCCTGGGTTCAATCCCTACTGGGGTCATGGGTGTGTACCGCTGAAGTGTATCAAACTAAGGGAGGTAACAGCTATCCAGATCTGTCTGGTTTCCAGTGGTTCTCTAACATGATTAGTAATTAAAATGTATAAGTCTGTAAGTTCATGATAAATACAAATCAATTCTAAAACAACATGCAGGTTTCTGCAGTACTTGATGAGCTGTATCGGTAATGGCAGAGTTGAGCTAGATGGTGTAATCGCAGAGCTTTCATTGTTTTTCCTAAACAACATCTTCAGTGATCCCTTCAGTGTATCCATTATCTAGCAGGAACTATGCATGTGATATATATACAGAACATAACTCTAGCTTCTTGACACATATAAACTCACTAGTAGAGGGAATAAAATTCACATTTGAATCGGAAAATAAACAAGGAGAATTAGCTATGATGTTAGATTGTAAAATAAAACGAACAGAAGAAGGTAAACTACACACTGGCGTTTATAAAAAGTCAACGCATTCTTCTAATAGATATTTAGACTTTAATTCATCTCATCCGTTATCTGTTAAGGCAGGCTTAGTTAAGTGTTTAACAAACCGAGCAGTAGCACTAAGTAGCACAAAAAAGACCTAAATGATGAAAGGAAACAGATAGAAGAGGCGTTGGTGTTAAATAACTATCCTATAAAATTCATTAGGAAGATCGAAAAAGGTCAAAAGCAAAATAAAAATAATTGTGAAACTAGTAGTGATAACATAAATAAGAGAGAATATAAGTCATCTACTGTTATACCATATAAGGAGGGGACATCTGAGACCCTATCTACGTAGGATTCTCAATAAAGCAGGAATTAGGGTGGCATTCAAACCTACAAACTCACTCAGAGACAAGCTCTGTAGGCTAAAAGACCCGGTGAACCCAATTAAACAAAATAATATAATTTACAAAATACCCTGCAATGACTGTGAGGTCAACTTTATTGGTCAAACTAGTAGATCGGGGGTAATCAGATTGTCGGAACATAAGAATTTAGCTAAGGTAAGAATGGTTGACCCCGAGAAGATAAGTAATTTAGAAAAAAGCTCAGCAATTGCACTACATGCATTAACACAATGACAGAATAGGATGGGAGAGGGTTAAGCTAATGATTACTGAATCCTGGTTCATCGAGTCTACACCCAACACATGCAACAGAAATGACTCAATGCAAATACCAGAAATATGGAAGATATTATTACCACTAGTCAGTCAAATCAGAGGAGGATAATAAGTAATCTAAATATTCTATTTCAATTAACGTACATCATAACACTCTAACAAGTTACTTATTTTGACTATGAAAACACTCGTCTTATTTCCCATCTGATTGTATTTGATCAATAACACTCCTATTATTATTTCTGAATATACATTATCCTATATTAATTTTTATTCAAATATCTAATCGATTCCACACATGGTTACAAATGAAGTAAAAAGTTGTGTGAGTAGCTTGATATGATTATGAGCAATAGTTTGTGCTCGAAACGTCATCAGTTAATATTACTGTACAACACTGTGTGATTTGTCAAAATAAAATCTTATCCATAATGGAGTTATACTCTACCACAGGGCCCAAGTTTTATACATTTATCAATTAAACGTCAGATGTTTATACTACTTAATTATGGATTTCAGTAGTATATGAAATTGATTGATTTTGTAGTGATACGATGTCCTACCATTTAGAAAATGCTAAACTGCTATATCAATGAATGTTCTTATTAGGCGGTTGGAGGCAATCGGCAGGAAGCCTTGCCTTCCTGACCTAGGTTTCGTGCTTGTTGGCACTTGTTAGCAAAGGGTGTCTGCAACCTTTAACAAAAACTCATTTCCCTGTGAGATTTGAACTCGTGTCATCTAGTGCTGTAGTCAGAGGCGCCGCTACCACTGAACTATTTTGGATTGCGATTGACCTACTGTAGGACTGTGTTAGACACTTTGATTGAACACACTAGGTGGTAAGTGGACTACATGGGGTCACTCACGATATAAGTATAAAACTTAGGCACTCTGGTGGTAGAGTATAACTCCATTATGGATAAGATTTTATTTTGATAAAATCACACAGTGTTGTACAGTAATAATAACTGATGACCAGGTTTCGAGCACAAATTATTACTGTCATAATCAAAGTACTCAAACGACTTTCTTGCTTCATTTGTATACATGAGTAAAAATTGATGATTAGACATTTAAAACATTTATTTCCTGATACGAATTTTAAACAAGCAATAAAGGTTAATAAAGCATGATTTAATAAATTCATCAAATGAATGAATTTAATGAATTCATCAAATTTTGGTAGAACTCGTCAGCTGAATACTCTACATACACGGATATATATACTTTTGGAATTACATTGGGAGATGCAAGACTGATAAGTAAACAAACTACATTGAATTAGTCAAGCAGAAAGACAGGTGCAAATGTTTTCCAAGTCATGTTCAAATAGATAAGGGAAGAGGGAGTACGAGAGATTAAAATTAAGATAAAATGCATTACGCTTCAATTACATCACTTAGATAAACAATTAGCCATTAGAAAATATAGCAAGAATTGCAAACAGAGTAATATCAGTAGAATAGTATAATAAATAACAGTAATAATAACAATGTTGAAGTGAATTAGGATAATCCTACTGATAAAGGATAGTTTTAAATGAATCAAGAATAATAATAATAATATAATAATAAGAGGTAGAATAATAAGTAAAACGTATTACCATGGTAGATTCAGAGTCACAACCATCTCCTTTTGTACACAGAGACCTGGTTTGTAAACTCGAATTGCACAAGCCTCTGCAATTGCAAGCATCTTCTTGTTTCTTTGTCTGCTGACAACAGTGAATGACTTGACCGCGTCGATAACATGTCCATAGTCTACAAGATGTTTTGTTATTGAGGAGTTTGGCACTTTGCACTCAGCTGTTTTCAACCATTTTGGCAAATGCTCCATCATGCGAGTAGACAATCGCCTTTCTGTACGACCTATGTATTTACTTCCACAAACACACTCAAATTGACATACGCAGTTTGAAGTGCAATTGATGTGTTTGTGGAAGTAAATACATAGGTCGTACGGAAAGGAGATTGTCTACTCGCATGATGGAGCATTTGCCAAAATGGTTGAAAACAGCTGAGTGCAAAGTGCCAAAATCCTCAATAACGAAACATCTTGTGACTACAGACATGTTATCGACGCTGTCAAGTTATTCGCCTCTTGAGTTGAGTATCAGACTGGATTCACCGCTGGTGAACTCGCCCCGAATGGGTGATATAGCCGTCAGTTATTCAAATCCTTTGGATCTAGCTGCTAGCAAGTACTACTGTGGTGAGAGCTGGCTACTAGCCAAAATTGGTAGACAGTATTTTAAGTCAATGTTTATGTCCCCAATATCGGTCATGAGAAAAATATGAACAAAGACTGCTTCAACAACCAACCCACAGCAGACTTTGCGTTGGCGGATACAGTTAGCATATAGATGATCTGACATTCAAGAAGCAGCCACAAAAAGATGAAAGATTAACTTTCAGTGAGAAACAACCAATCAGAAGACTGTATTTTTCTGCTAACAATAATCTATAATAATGTACATGAAAAGCTATAAATATGTGTTGATTTCCTTAATAAACGATCTGTTGTCTGGCCCTTTTCTTCTGTTTTTACAAAAGTATATTCAGAAATGATGACACTGATGTTATCAATAAAATACAATCAGATGGGAAATAAGATGTTTTCATAGTAAAATAAATAAATAACTTGTTAGAATGTGTGAACTGAATACATTTTAAGATTATTTATTATCCTCTGATTTGACTGGCGATAATAATATCTTCCATATCTCTGGTATTTGGGTTGAGTCACTTCTATTGCATGTGTTGGGTGTAGACTCGATGAACCAGGATTCAGTAGGTTTTGAATGCCACCCTAATTCCTGATTTATTAAGGATCCTACATAGGTTCTCAGGCATTCCCTCCTTATATGATAAAACTGTAGATGCCTTATATTCTTTCTTATTTATGAAATCATTATTAGTTTCACCATTATACCAGAGATATGGAAGATATTATTACCACCAGTCAAATCAGAGGATGATTATTAATGTTAAAATGTATTCAATTCACATTATGACGTCCTCACAAGTTATTTATTTATTTTATTACAAAAACATATTGTATTTTATTCATAACACTAATATTATTTCCGAATGTATTTTATCTTTTATTGATTTTATTCAAATGTCGAATCATCAACACGAAAACAAGCCTAATCCTTACAAACCAACTGTTGAAAATTAATCTGATGCTCTCTAGTGACTTGCTACAGGACGGAGTTTCCTGGAATTCTAGTGAGACGTCGTGATCAGTAAGGTACACATCCAGTCAAGTGTGAGGATGGATTTCCCGCCGATCACATTGGTTGGTGCCAGTCGCGCTAAATCACGAATTGGTAGAAGTTAGAATTCATGGACTGTCCATTGAATTGGGTCGTAGTAGCTGAATGGTATACGAGCTTGCCTTGTAACCGGAAGGTCCTGGGTTCGAACCCCACTGGTGTGGGTGCATACTGCCGATGAGTCCCAAAACTAGGATAATAAAGTTGTACTTGAGGTGGTAATTGAAATCGAAATGGAAACCTCCCGCCCCCACCCCTCGACCTTTCTTGAAGATTAAAAGATGCGAGTATTGATCAGGCAGGTGGCGGTTTCACTTTAAGCAAACAGTAGATGTTTCAGCAGATAACAGAAATGACCCCCAATATTTCATTTTATTTATTTTATACCTGCAATGTGATTCTACATTCTTAGCTTTAATGTTTTCTCTACTTTTCTTTCATATAGATTGCTTTTGGTTGTTAGATGCACTACTGCAATTCTCTACTAGTTCTCAGGGACGAATTCCACGAACACTAATTGAACAAATGTTTACACCAAATACAATTGAATGGTTTGATCCTATGCTGACAACACCATATCGGATAAAAGGTTTGTTCAAGTTAACTTTTTATAAGTTAGTGTTTTACCCTACAGTCACCATGGCATTCAAAAATATCTCTCCGGGTATTATTATTATCATTATTATTCCCTTGGGTTCCGAGTACAACACAGGGCTTCAACAACACATCTCCATTTTGTTTTATTTGCTGCTGATCTCTTCAGCTGGGTCCACGATTGCCCATATCTCTCTCTCTCGTCTCCTCCAACTCGCCACACAATCTCCATGTCATCCTCGCACCGACGACCCACTTGTTTTTTCCTATTGAGATTCCCCACTCAAGCGATGGCCTGCATTGCGCGTGATGTCGTTTGAGGGCCTCCTCAACGTATACCTGGTCAATCCATCTCCATTTTCTCCCACATATATGTTGTGCGATCGGCTCTCACCTGTTGGTTTGTTCCCAGGCATAGTTTCTTGTCACTAATTCTTTCCGACTGGCCATCTAATCTTCAGTATAGGAGGAAGACAGCTGTTGATAAAAGTCTGCAACTGGCTATTGGCAATGCTTTTTGTGATGCGCCAAGTATCAGACCCACCTCGTAAACTGTAAATCCTTGGTTCAGTCCCTAGTTGGGTGGTAGTACGTGCTACTGAAGAGTCTCGAGCTTGGAAGCAACAGCTATCCACTAACCTCTTAGTTTTCAGTGGTTCTCTGACTGATGTCAATCAGTTTCTAATCCAACTTAAAATTAATCAATCAATCTCTGTAAACTAACACTTGACAAGGGAAAACTGCATAATGTGAAGATAATGGAAGAAGTTTAAAAGAGAATAACATATACACCACTACAGTTGGTTGCACAGTATATACTTTCTAATAATTTGGTTTCCTCTGTCTAATTGGACCGTATTCAAGTATTGGTTTGTAGGTATTTGGTTGATTGGTTACAGGATTTCATCATGAACTGACATTGGTTAGAGAACCATTGGAAAACCTGGGAGTACTGGACAGCTGTTTCGTCCTAGTTTGGGACTCTTCAACAGTATGCACCCACCGGGGTTCGAACTCAAGATTTTCTGATTACAAGGCTGTCCAGTACTCCCAGGTTTTCTAATGGTTCTCTAACTAATGTCACCTCGTGATGAAATCCTATAACCAACCAACCAAATCCCTACAAACCAATACTTGAACATCAATGAGATGCCCACTGGCGACTGGCCCTATTCAGGCAGGTGGTTACCTGGGATTCCAGTGGGAAGTCGTGACCAGTAGGGTGCAGCAGGTCGAGTGTGAGGACAAATACTCGCCGAAGACATTGGTTAGCGGTTGCGCTATATCGTGAATTGGCAGAAGTTAGAATTCATGGGACATTGGATTGGGTCCCAGTGGCTTAATGGTATACGAGCTCGCCTTGTAACCAGAAGGTCCTGTGTTCGAACCCCGGTGGGTGCGTACTGATGAAGAGTCCCAAACTAGGACGAAACAGCTGTCCAGTACTCCCAGGTTTTCTAATGGTTCTCTAACCAATGTCAGCTCATGATGAAATCCTGTGACCAATGGACCGTATTCAATGAACATTCCACGCAAACGTAGATCGACGTTTATGTCATTCGATTTTTATTGGTGCATGCTATTGAGTTAGAACATAGTTGTTTTTTTTCGTTTCTTAAACGTGTATTTTATTGGTCGCATGAAATAACTGTATTATCCTTATTATTATTATTTATTATTCCCTTGGGTTCCGAGTGGAACAAACAGCTCCCTGCAGATTACTCTGTTCAGTCTTTCAGCTGGCTCTGCTACTGACCATAAGACTTCGTTTCCTCCTCATATGATTTCCTCCATCTCACACTTGCAGTGATGTCAAACTCGTTTCTTTCCCTCTCGGATTCCACTCGATGGCCTGACTGGCGAGTGATGTCACTTGTCGGTTTCCTCAGTGTGTATGTCTACTCTGCCTCCATTTCCTTCTCACGTTTGATGGGCAACAGGTTCGTTGGTTGGTTGATTCATTGCTAGAGCTTCTTGTTGCTTCTGCTTTCCACTCTGGCTATCCTATCTTCAGTGTCCAGCCAGTGAAGGCAGCTGTTGATAAAAGTCTACAGCAACCTGTTGGAAATGCCTGTCGTTATGCACTGAGTCTCTAGCTGTTATTTCTAGTAGTGGAACTTCGCTTTACCTGGAACCAATAAATTCGGGTCTTGTCAGTTGGTTTACTTTATTTTTTTCTCAGTGTGTGTGTGTGGGGCGGGTACATTATTCGACTGACGCCGTCGCATATTGTTGTATGTTGAAATTAAAACGGACCCAAATCCAGTATTATTATTATTTTCCGTCACAGAATACCATTTCGAGAAGATGTTGTGATAATGTTTATATTCTAGTGTACTTCACATTTTTTAAACGTTACTGCCATTATTTCATTTTTTATTGTTATTGTTCCCTTGGGTTCCTAGTGGAACATAGCGCTTCAACTGCACGTATCCACTTGTTCCTGTCTTCTGCTATACTTTTCACCTGCGTCCATGTTAATCCATACTGTCTCAACTCCTCTTCACACGATCTCCTCCATTTCACCTTTGAACGTCCCACTCGCCGCTTCCCTTTCGGGTTCCACTCGAGGGCCTGGCTCGCGATGTCACCCAGCGGCCTCCTCAGCGAGTGTCCAATCCATCTCCACTTTCTCCTGCATATTTGTTGAGCGATTGGTTCTTGTTTTGTTTGTTCCCATAGTTTCTTGTTGGTGATTCTTTCCGGTCATCTGATCTTCAGTATAGAACGAAGACAGCTTCACGGTCAACGCTGTCGAAGGCCTTCTCAAAGTTTATAAAGTTGAGGTAGAGGTTTGATTGCCATTCCATGCTTTGTTCGATGATGATGCGTAGAGTTGCAATTTGGTCAGAACAAATTTCTTTAATTCTGTTTTATTTTTTTTTCAAGATTCTCACCTGAATAAATATAGCAATGTGATTCGAAGTGATTGGAACGCATTAAATGAGGTTTCTAATTATTCATCACTACCGCTGGAGGCTTATCGTCCTCTCCAGTCGTGTTATATCGCACCAACAGCCTCTGTGATTGTCGATAAAACGCTACCGAATGAGTAAGTAAAGCCGTTTGTGAACAGTTACGGCCGTTTAAGATGTGTTTCTTTTTTAAAGTTTTCTCTCAGAATTGATTTCGTATTCAAGAATATTCCTTGTTTAATTTACACCTGGTCTTGTTATTTTTATATCCATAGGGGGATTCGAGTTCGGTAGAGGCTAATAAGTTTTTTTAGATGGTTGGAGGCAGTTGGCAGGAAGCCTTGCCTGACCTAGGTTTCGTGCCAGTTGGCACTCATCAGTCAGCAAGGCGTATCTGCAACCAGGTTAAAGGAACTTATGTCCCTTCTGAGGAGATTCGAACAGGCGTCACCCAGTACCATCTGCAGCCAGAGACGTTACCACTGAGTTATTCGGGTTCTCAGTTACTCACCTCCTGTAGACTGTATTCGATACTTTTAAATGGACACTAGTTAGTAAGTAGTGTAATATGTCTAGTCCTTGACTGATAGAATTCAGTCTGCACCAAAAAGATGGGACTAGACACATTACACTAGTTACTAAGTAGTGTCTAATCAAAAGCTTATAAGTTATATTGAATATCGATTCGTGTTTTCGCAGAATTCACACACAGGATAAGTCATTTCTTGAATATCTTGATGGTAACACATCTGACTACGTCTCTGAGTAACCAACCGGCTGAATAATAAGTTTCATTTCTGCACAGAATTATAGCTGTGCAAGTAGATAAAAGAGAGAGAAAAGTGGTTCAAATGAACTATAGTAGGCAGATACGTAAAGGGGAAGAGTGGGCATCGTGAGGAGACAGGCATAAAATGGACCCACACAAAAAACTTGGAGGATCTGGACTTCGCCGATGTGATATATATGTCTGCTTTCCCACAAACTGGAAGATATGCAAGTGAAAAGCAACAAGTTGACGATAGAAGAAGCATCAAAGATAGGCCTTCAGGTGAACATAGAGAAAACACAGGTGATAAAGATTCCTGGCCAACAACAACAGCCACAACAATCGGCACAAATGGGGGAAATCTGAAAGAAGCAATCTCCTTCACCTACCTACCTGGGAAGCATCGTTTCAACTACAGGCGGACGGAACTGATGAGGTTATCAAAGTGAGGATTGGGAGAGCAAGACAGGCTTTTATTACTCTCAAGTCTGCGTGTGGAGATCAACAGCACTCAGCATGAAAAATTATATCCGGATTTTCAACTCCAATGTGAAGTCAGTGCTACTTACTATACAGATCAGAGACTTGGCGCCGCGCTGCGTCGCGTCACGAAGGGCACTTGGAACAAACTACACACCTCCATCAACAGCTATCTTCGCTCAATACTACTCAAGATCAGATGGCCGGCCAGAAAAGATCAGCAACAGGGAGGGATCTTTGGCAATGAACCAACCCAGCAGGAACCAATTGTGAAAGAAATATGCAGGAAGAAATGGAGGTGGATTGTGGCCATACTCTGAGAGAACAAATCATCAAGCGAGTGACATGACACGCCAGACCATTACTCGAGTGGAACCCAAATGGGATGTGGCAAGTTGGTCGTCAGTGCGAAGGTGACATGGAGGAGGAGGAGATGAAAGCATGTGAGCAGACATGGAGTCAAGTGAAAACGCTGGTAGAGAACCGAACGCGGCTGAAGTTCTATGTTACTCTAGGAACTAAAGGAAACAATAATAATAATGTATGGGAGAAAGAAGGACTAGTAACATGGAGAAACATGTGGACTTAATCGATCTAGGAGATTATCAAGAGTGAATGCATCCGTGCCGATGAACATGGCTTTGTACATTCTCAAGCTCTTGGTTTTTATCATCCTGAAGAATCCGACCAGTGGTCATTTCAGTCGATCTATCTTCACAACTTGATCAATTGAAGTCAGAGACCAGTTTCAATGGTCATTTCTTGCAGCTATAAAGGACAGGGAACTGCTGCATAATACACACATCCTTTGATCGATAGCCGAATATCACGTCTGTGTCAGAGATGACATGAGTTGACAAGTGCCAAACTTGCCTTTTGTATATCCATGTTAAGATTTCGTCACGATCGGCCCCTTTGGGGCCTTATGCGACTTTCAAGATAAGTGAAGCGGTTAACACACTCAACCACGTCACTCCTTATCTTTTTAAGGCTAAGAGTCGGTGTATTTCGAGTCCTGTAACGTCATCTGGTATTTGACAGCAGCAAATCGCATGCAGAACATTCGAAGATTTCTGCTTAAGATGTTCAGAAAACTCTGAATTTTGTCAATGTCTCTACCTAAGAGGACAACGTACCCAGAGGACGCGTGCCCCAAGTCGACAAGACTTTTCCCAGGTAACAAGTCAACTCCTAAATCACTAAAGCCACATGGCGTCTATTCCATTAGTAAATCTAAGATGAAATTAAACGGAAATGTAGACAGTGAGCATCTCTGATGGGCACCATTGGTTGTCATCACTTCAGATGACAACTCACCACTGCATGTGTTTCAGTAGAGTACCTTGATTAGTGCAATGGACTCTCCCGGTACTCTTTTCTATGATTTCTTCTGAACACACAGGTTTGGCTTCTTCTTCTTCAGGTGGGGATTCCTATGGCTTCAGCTGTAGAAGTATGTAGAAGGCGAACTCGTAAAGCAAAATTAAGATTAGTAAGAATAAGATAAATAATTTTTAAATGCTGTATTTAATTTTCTGTAGTTTGGTTCTAGTGAGAAGTCGTGACCAGTGAGGTCCAATTAGATGTCACGTGTGTGGATGGATGCCGCACCAACGACAATGGTTGGGGTCGCGCTAAATCACGAATTGGCAGAAGTTAGAATTCATGAGCCATTGAATCGGGTCCCAGTGGCTGAATGGTGTACGAGCTTGCCTTGTAACCGGAAGGTCCTGGGTTTGAACCCCGTGGAGTGGGTGCGTACTGCCGATGATTCCCAAACTAGGATGAAACAACAGCTGTCCAGTACTCTCCGGTTTTCAATGTTTCTCTAATTGATATCAATCCGTGATCAACTCGTTAAAAACTGTATTTAACGTCAACTTTATGCTCACTATCTATCTACAAGGTGGTGCACTAAAACAGAGCTAGCTACGAATAAATCTTGTTTATCCTTTGCTTAACCATGCTGCAGGATGATGTTCGGAAATACGATGATGATGAACCTGCTTAATTGTACTTCTTTCTCTCTTTGTTTGTCGCACAGGTCATTACTATATCGTCCACAACCTTTACTATTCTATCCATCAGAATTCTATCAACCATTGAAAAAGGCCTACAGCAATCAGTACTGTCATTCAACATCTTTGAACAGGCAGTCGAGTAGACAATCACAATCCGTGTATATGTTTATCAAACAATCCTATTTGTATTATATGATTAGACATCATTCTTTTTTCCTTTATTCTATATTCATGTTAATATTTGTATACTTTTTTGGTAAAGATTTTCAATTCTTAGTTTATTCTATCCTTAAAGGTATAGTATACTTGCTTGGAAATTTCTACACTATAGTGAAGTATGCTTTAGTAAGAATTTTGCTTATTATGTATAGTTTATGCGTTAGACTGGTTGCTGGTTCACCTGTAGAAAAGTTTTTTAGAAAGAGGTCAACTTTGACGAGTACACTGTCATCGTCAACAACGAGTGAAGAAGTTAAAACAACAGTTAGAACATTAGAAACACCATCATTGTTCTATAATAATAACAAGACAAGACCATCTCATCAGAGTGGTTATCATAAGAGCTCATCGAATCTATTCATATCTGTACATAAATAAATAGATACATACACAGCACACCAAGTGGATTTACCCACTTGTTCAGTGTGTCAAACTTCTACTTTTGTTGCTCGTCATAGCCCAGCCTTTTTCTGGGCTGCCTGTAGTTTTCATCCTACCATATCATTCTTTATATTATGCCTTTTACACTTTTTACACTGATAATGACCAGTACTCCCATCACGGAGTGTATTATACACTGTGAAAACAAAGTATATATATTTCCTTTTTTTAACATTAATATCTCTTTTTTTCATTCATCTGTTATGTACTTCATTGTGCATATATGTATAAATTCTTAGATATATTCTCTTTTGTGAATGAATTTATTTTACTGCAAGTTAGGCCACGGATTGATATATAAGTCAGAGAACCATTGAAGAGCATGGAGACAAGTGTCCAAAATAAATTATGTTATAGGTAGAAAGAGTAAATAAATTGTTAGTTTTTTTCTCCTTCACGTTCCTCAGTGGAACATAGGGCTTCAAGCTAGAGGCTTGAAGTTTCTGTAGCAGTGTTTATTTTACAGGATGGGGTTGCTAGCCCCATGCCCAACCTTTCCTCTTCACTAGCATTATTTCTGGCTTATCGAGGAAAAGGAGTGCGTCGGCCGGGAATCGAACCCCGGACCATGTGCATGGTCGGCGAGCATCCTTACCGCTATGCACGAGCTCTACGCCTGCGAAACCTAACATCTCTCAGCCCAGGGTGTCCAGCAACTCTGTGTAATCCATCGTCGCTGCCACTGTACAACTCCATGAGTCTGGTAGCACTGCCGTAGAAGTTATTATTTTTATCAGTCATTAGTTCTGAGGTCCAGCAGCGTGTCTTACCACTTGGTGAAGGCCATTTTGAAACACTGGCTTTAGTCACTTCGACATCTGTGAATGTCATCACGGGGACTAGCATACTCTCGGCTGTTCTTCAGCGATGTCTGTGACAGGATGCATAAGGCGCAGGAGTGGCGAGTCTATGATGTAGTGTCGTGACATGAGGCATATCCGTGTTAGCTAACCATCCGCTGGTTGATAAATCACGACTTCCTGGGTGTAGTAACACAGGTAATTCGAATCGGTAGTTTCAGATATCACCAACGATCTTAATCAATGCCCAACATCTTACAATCTCCATCTTTGTTCTCTTTCTCAAAATAAAAACGAATCGCCACACCGTCGTCTTGTAACCACCAAAATCATACCTAGATGCTTTGAAAAGCAGACAAATTACTCATATAAGTATTACGCCTGCATAGAAACATTTCACCTGAAATAGTAACAACTCTACCCACCAGGCAGTATTAACTTCAACACCTACTGGATGTATTTACACAATTCGAATAACCTGTCTCATCCGAGGCAGAAAATCTCTTCCATATATACATATATATATATATATATATATATAGTCACATATCATCAAACTGTCTCCGTGTTTCAAGATAATAATAAAAAGATCATTATTAAACATTTGAAACCAGTAATAAAAGCAATTAGTAAACAAACAAAAGATATTACTGAAATATCTTATAAAAATTCAAGAAAAAAAGTATTATTAACGAAGTACTAGTAGTGTAACGACAGAAGATAAGGGTCAGGCAACAGATCGTTTATTGAGAAAATCAACAGATATTTATGCATTTTTATGTACATTATAATTCGTTATTATTAGCAGAGAAATAGCGTCTTCTGATTGGTTGTTTTCTCGCTGAAAGTTATTCTGTCATCTCTTTGTGGCCATTTCTTTGAAGGTCAGACCATATATCTGCGAATGGTATCCGCCCACGCAAAGTCTGCTGTGATTGGTTGTTGAGTTAGTCTTTGTTCTTGTTCTTTTCTCATGACTCAGATTTGGGACGTAAACATTGATGTAAATTGCTGTCTACCATTTTTGGCTAGCAGACAGCTCTCACCACAGTAGAACTTGGAATTATACCCAAGTTAGAAGGAGGGAATGGAGAAGTTTCTTCTGTGCACATGAATCAGGGTTTTCTATCCGGATCGTTAAGGCCTCCTCGGCAATGCAAATTATACGGAAGCTTACCGTTTTCGGGAGGCTTCTTTTGACTTTGTAGATGGCTTTGAATGAATTCTCCTTACGTATTGAGTGACCAGTGTGGATTATATTGTTCAATTATGGGACTCCTTACTGAACCACTGTCACCTTATCGTAGCCAAGTGGGATAATGTTCTTTGACTCTTTTAGATAAAACACGCATCGAATGAACTATATATCTCGATCCACATGAACAAGTGAATTGATAGATACACACACAAAAGTGGTTAAATGTGATAGTTTATCTTTGGAGTTGTTGAATAACTCCAAACAGACGACTATTTGGAATTAAAATGGCTATAAAATAAACAAGGTATCACTTCCTCTTTCAATCTTAGAAGAGTAACACAAATATTGTAAGTTCAATGGAATTCGTCAAGGATGTGGCAGAGAAATGAGCGAAATAAACAAGAATCTAGTATGCAAACAGAGTGCAGCATAACTTATACAGAGAATAAACTTGAACCAATAAGAAGTTTCTCTATAGTGAAATTCTTATTAGTGTACGACACTAGGTGTCTCACTGTAAATTGAGAAAAATAATCTACGTACTATGTTTCATTTGTATCTAGAAGGTGACATGCACTTGTACTAGCAAATATACAGAATGGACTGAGAAGCTGCCTCCTCTATGGTTCCGTGAACAAATTCCTCAGAATTCATATTCAAAGAAAACAGATTTTTGAAGTATGTAATGACTCCACAATGCCTTGTGGAAATGTGGCATTTGACTGACGCTTCTCAGAACTTTAAAATCATAGATCTGTTGAAAGTGATTGGATTTCCTGAACTTTATGTGAATAAATACCACGAAATGCTCCCATCTATATGTCTATTTTATCCTAATTTGGGATTCATTGGCAGTATGCACCCACCACCAGGGTTCCAAACCAGGACCTTTCGGTTACAAGGCAAGCTCGTATACTATTCAGCCGCTGGGACCCGATTCAGTGTCTAACCCATGCGTTCTAACTTCTACCGATTCGTTATTTCAGCTCGACTGGTACCAACCAATGTCATCGGCGGGAGATCCAACCTCACTCCCGACTTTGGGTTCCAAGTGAAAAATGAGGGCCTCAGCAGAACATCTCCTTTTAACTATATCCTCCAAGTTCATTTTGTGGCTTGTCCTACGATTGCCGATAAGCTATGATTCCCGCCTCACACGATCTACTCTGTATCACCGTCAGACCTTTTGCCCAACTCGTATTAACTCCACTCGGCAATCTGACGCATGATGTCACTCAACCGTCTCCTCATTGTATGCATCTCTAATCCACTGGGCGATAAGTTCTTGGTTGGTTCGTCGCCTATCAGACTTCCTTGGTTGCTGATCCTCTCCGGCTGGCTTACAGGTCATTTGATCTTCAGTACAGAGCCTGAGAAGACAGCCGTTGACGAAGGTCAGCAGTTTGGTCGAAATGCTGTTTGTGCTGTGTGCGCCAAATCTCTGAAGAATATATAGAAGCGCTGACTTGAATTTATTGTTGAAAATCCAAATCTTCTTCCTTATGCTGAGTGTGGTAGATTCACACACTGATTTCAGAATAATGAAATTCTCTCTTGTCTTTTCAGTCCTGGCCGCTTAGCTTTGCTAACTGCCTGGATATGAAATGGTGCTGATAGAGACAACTTCCTTTAGATTTCTCCTGTTGATGGTGATTGGTGTTTATTATTATTGTTGTTGTTGTTGGCGAGGGATCTTCATCATCAATGTCTTGGTTGATTCGTCCCCAGAGTTCCTTGTCGCCTATCCCTTCTAACAGGTTGGCTATCTGGTCTTTAGTAATATCAAGAGTATGCAGTTGGATGATCGTAGTCCTCAGGCTGTGGAAAATGTCTCCCGTATATGTATGTATGTCATTTCTTCCTTTCCGGGTGTAACATAGGCCTCCTAGATTTAAAGTTTTAGAGGTTGTAGTTATCGACGTTCGCGAATTGTACGGATTATACTAACGCAAGACCTTATGCCAACAACTTCTATAGTGTTCGCACTACGAGTACGAAAGATAAAGCAAAAGACCAGATTTAGTCGTCCAAAGTACGTAGTATATTTCGGGACCAAATCGCGGTTAGAAGTGAATGCTTAGCTAGCTAGTGATCGTGCACGCACGTGACACGACGGATAACCAAATTGTGGGGATGCCTGACCGGAAGCCTTCAGCTAAACAAGTCGACTTAAACAGCGATGGTCAGCATCCAATGTTGAGTGATGATTGCTGTGGTCAATAATTTTGGGGAATTATTTACCGCTACAAAGTTTTAGCAACAGCATTTTAAAGGATAGGGTTCCTCAACCATCCCTTTTATCTGCGATTGGCTACAAAAGATTTAGGCGTGCTTCAGCCTGGAATTGAACCTTGGCTCCCTGTTTAGTTGGGAAGTATCTTGTCATTAAACCAACGACAGATATGTATATAAATGTACAGTGTAGGTTTCTAAGATATCCGGATCAATAATTGCGATCGATTTAATTGAACCAAAAGCTCAAGTTATGTGTAAAGTACGAAACAACAGGATTTATCTAAAATACGACAGTATATTACATTATACATAACAATGAAACAATATATAACCCTCAAATTGTGAGGTTTCTAAGGCCGAATTCCGTATAACGCGCCAATAAAAAATAACGGCAGCAAATCTGTGTCAAATGCAATCTACAGTCAGTATCAAACAGCTTACGAATGTCTACATAAAGAGTAAGGGGATAAGAATAGACTATATATTCAACAGAGAAAGGAATATGAATAAAGCATGTACAACAGATACTGTTTAACTATGAAAAGGCAACTACTACAGATCAAACAAGGCGTTTTTTGCATTCAAGAACCTATTAGTCAAAAAAGAAATATGCCTAAGAAAATGGACACATGCTGAGGAGACTGTCAAATGACATCACACACCACATCTTCGAATAGGAAACGATGAGTTGGATGTCCAGGGGT